CTTTCTCTTGTCAGAGAAAAGACAGGCAGTAACTGTCTGTGTGTCACCGAGGGCAATTGTGGAAAGCCAGAGACATTTGCCTTGAAACACCTATCTCTGCTAGTGTCTTGTTGTTGGAAAGAGAAAAAAAGACTAAACTACATAGGACCAAGTAGTCTGTTTATTATGACAGAAATAAAAGCAAAAATTACAAGAGGTCCATTTGCACAAACAAATAAAATTACCGGTAGTCTTCTATATTATCCTCTTACACATTTAGAGAAATACTTGTGTAGCTATAAAATATATCTTACTGCAAAGAAACAATGGCATGTGTAACCCACTTGCATACTAGCAATAAATTAATTAAATTTAGTTTATTTATACAACGCCAAGTCACAACAGACAGAAGTCATCTCAGGGCACTGACGCTTACGGCAATTTATTTTAATTTGTTCTCAACCACAATCAGATTTTTTTTATACTAAACACTGGAGTAGCCATTTTTGTCTGTTGGTTAATATCAACGTCAACAATGTGAATGGAAATAACACGGCCATGTGTTTACACTTTGCTCTGGTTGATTCAACTACCAGGTCAAAAAAAGGAAGCTTTAAGTGGAGCAGTAATTAGGACTGTAAACCTTAAGCCACTTAAATGGCTTTTTAAAAATTAGGTGACCCAAAATAAATACATTTTAACAAGGATTGGTTTAGAATTCATAGTTCTACAGAAAGGTGGACGTGTTCAAAAAAAAAAAAAAAAAAAAAAGAGCACACGAGGACAGTGTGATGGAGCCTAATAATAGCTTCAGGTTGATGGCAGACTTCGCACGCGCTTCAAACGGAACTCCTTCAGTTTCGGTGGCATTCAAGAACACATTCCTCACATAGTAACACTTCAAGCACAGTACAAACTCCAAAGTTAATGTGGGTTATTTTGCTGGCTCAGCGCCAGGTTTCAGTGTTTGCATTTTGCCCCATACTGCTTTACCAGTCCTAACTTATCTGCACCAACGATATGGAGTGAGAAAAAGGGACGCAACAAATAACGCCAGGTAAAAGAAATAAAACTCAACACAGTCTTCAAAAACCATGATTTAGCAGAAATGAATCTCGTGATTTATTTCAACTCGGATCAGATAAGTCAATGCTACTCTACAGAAACTGCAAATATAATTGCAATAAAGTTCATGCAAAACTAGAGAAAATTTAGTTTCTCATAGCAATGGAGTGCCAAATGTATGCAACACATCAGGCTACGTAAAGCTAAACAATAGCATAAAAGTCTTAGCTTTGATCATTTTAAAAGTAAAAAAAAACCAACAACAATTGTGGCACAAAATATTAATCAGTAAGATGTGGGAAATGGAACAAAGAGAGAAAAAAATAATAAAAAATACAAGTAAGAAGGAAACCCCCTCAGTTTGTGACCATAAAAGAGTACTGCTCCTCTCTGGGAGATTAAATATGAACAGAACAAAACAAAACGAGGGCTTTGAGACCCTCCGAGTCCTAGCCATTCTTTTGGCCACAGTAGCCTAGCAACCGCTGCTTGACCAGTCCATTGTGCAAACGTATGTTAAGCTTTTATCCCTCATTAGCAACATTCCTCCCTGCAGGCTGGGATTTTACAGATTAGGTTGAAAAACACAAAAGAGATTGGACAAATCTTGCTGACTTCCAACATATTACTTTACAGGGTAATCATTGATCAAATAGCTGTACGCTTGTCTGTGTGGAGCATGTGCGCAGTGCGAGTTGATCAATGACAGGTAAAGTAGTTACCAGTAAAGTAGTTGGGCAAAGCTGGTTCTGGTCAGATGCACCCGTCTATTTCTTGGTTTGACTAAATCGAACAGATTGTTATTTAATAACCACGTTGCTGTAAGCCCCCTGTGGAGATAATTCTCCCTTTTTTATATTGTTTTGTTAGACCAATGCAGATTCAAGCCAAAACAAACAGACAACAGACCCACAGCAACAGATGCCACAACTTCTCTAAGCGGCATCAGTCTATTTTATTAAAACTTGGAAACCAACTCAACACACCACAGGGTGCCTTTCCACGTTTCTAAGAAATGGTCTTTTGTGAGCTCACTGTCCTGGTTTTATAAGCAAAAACATCCAGCTTCTTCCACTTTACCTACTTAAGTAGCAATTTATATTGACTACACATGTAGTTATTTTGCCTAAATTTTTGGTAACAAACTTCCATTCAGGCTGGATTGAAAATGACCATACACATTTTCATCCTGTTCTATATGTCCATCTTATTATATTTTCATATCCTAGACTACGTTCATGCACATTATTAAAAAAAAAACCCTCCTCTCTTTGGTTTCTCTGGGTCACAGAGAGGTGGCAAGACAAACACAATGAGTCGTGTTAGCAGCTCCGTGCTTGTTTGGGGGGAGTCTGTGTATTTTAACCAAACATCCGATTAGCCTCAACAGTCTAAACAGAAGTTAAATCCTTTCACTCCATCTGCCCCATACTTGAGCTCAATTCTTCAACTTAAATAGGAGGACGTTTTGGTAGGACTGAGCTCTTCAACATCCCTTCATTAAATTTTATCAACGGGATTAAAAGGCAAAATTGTCCCACAACACAACTAAAACTACTGTAAATATGTTTTAAACTGTGAACCCGTTTTATTCCTGCATTTTAAGTATATTAGTAGCAACACACAGCATATAACACTTTAAATATAATACAAACAGCTTTATGAATGTAAAAGTTAATATTTTATACACGTTTTTGGCAGTTAAAGGTACTCGTTGCTAGGTCTGTCACGATAACAAATTTTGCTGGGCGATTAATTCTCAGAAATTATTGCGATAAACGATAATATTGTTTGAAATTTTACAATAATTAGTAATTATTGTCAAATGTGTAGGACCATTTTTTGACCATCAGCTGACAGTATATGACTGTTTGAACAGAAGGATGGATAGTGAGGGAGCGAGCAGCGTGTCTCTAAGAAAAATGGGAGGGAGGCCTCTTGACATGCATGGGCTGTCCCTCCTTCCTTTTTTCGGTTCTCAAAATGGCGGATGCTCGGTGTGGTTTGAGCTCTTTAGCATAGCATTTTTCACACAAAGCTTTTAATAAAAAAAAAAAAACAGTCAAAAAGGTCAGCTTATTTTTGCAGAGAAAAACAACTTTTTACATGAAGGCACAAATTTCAACCGTGAATTTTGGAGCTCAGACAAGACGGAAGTTTTTTCCCCTGAGGTCGGCCTGTTAGCTTAGCTCGTAGCTTAGCTGCTTTTAACGACCCAAAAACACAATTTTGAATGGTTAAAATGGATTTTAAAGAGAAAGGGAGGGGTCAGTGAAGAGCACCGGAGTTGAGCCTGTTGTCATCCAGTAGAAAGAGAGACAAGAAGAAACAATAAAGCCAATCAATAAAAATGAGGTTGATAATTTTCATTTATCATGCGATTAATTGGTTTTTTGCGACAGGCCTACTCGTTGCAACTTCATGAAGACTAATTTTTAAAAAAAAGAAACAAAATCTTCCCGTTTTTTAATCAATAGATAATGCGTCCTATGATCACAAATTTGAAAGCAAAATTTGTGAATGGCTGCCAACTACTGCGTGCATTTACATACAGAAACAGTCAAAGTGACTGAAAACAGTTCAATAATGGCGGCATTTGTGGCGGTGCCATTAGAGAATGAAAAATCAGACAATTTTGATATATTGGTACATATTTACACAAAAATGTGTACATATGTTAAGATGTGTACATATTACATGTGTAATATGTGTACAAAAGTGTGCAGATAAAGGTGCTTTGTTTACATTTAATGCATACCTGCATTTCCAAATTGCATAGCTAGAAAACTACTGGAGTAAACTTTCAAAGTGGACCATTTGATATAGTTCAGGATAATTTTTTTACGTTTGATTTTGTAGTTTGCAGTGTTTGACAGATGTCCAGGTGAGTGCAAGAGGACCTCTTATAACTCCAGTCAAACTGTCTGGTATGTGTACATTTCACAAGTTCTGTCCTGACAATCACACATTGACTTTTACTGCTGGAGATAAACAATCAGTGAGCCAGAGCTGCTCTCCACATGGTCTCAGGCTGATACGAGTCTGATCACAAAGGAGAGAAATGATGTTTGGGGTCACAAAAGCACCTGGGTTGAAGTGAGTAGCCTGTGTGAGCGGGTATGTGACTGAGTAGCCTGTGTGAGTGGAGATGTGACTATTTATCTCACTGAGAAATTCCCATTCATTATTCAGTTCTGGGAAACCAAAGTTTGCCAGCCTGTTGTTGATTACCAGAACTGGCTCATTAGGCCTGCTGCTCTATACACAGGCCTGGTGTGTCAAACTATCAAGCGGGTTTATAGTTTACAAACATAATTGCCTGCATTTATTAAACCAATACAAAGACGTTTCTCTCTCTGTAACATTTGCTTCGTTGAACATTATAGCGTGTTCGTAAACCTTTTGTGCAACTTAGTGGCTGTGTCTGTTCAAGCACATGGCCTGACAGTGTGGACACAGCGTGTCTAGTTATGTGCTCAGTAAATCACTGACTTTATTTGAACAAGCTTTCAGTGCAGACGGGGGGCTGGGAAGGTGTGTTCGTGTGTTTTAAAGCCTTGGGGGTGGATAAAGTGCAGGGAAAGTGGCCCAGCTGGGCAAACTATCCAGCTTATTTCACATCCTCTCCATGGCATCCCCCCCCCCCCACTCACCACCAGTTTGGACCACTTGATTATGTGGTGAAATGCATGTGAATGATGGGATTTCTGCACGCTTTGTTTAATGCAGTAATAACAGTGGTGTGCTATCCTGATATTGCACTGAGACATTCCCTTAAGAACATTTCCCAAGCCAGTAACTCGTCAATGAACCATTATTATTAATAATCAGTGTGGAGTTGCCGAGCTTAACAGAGATTATCTATGAGGTTAAAGCAACATGAAACGGTTGTTAGTGACTAATACTTAAAATATGACATGAAATAATAGTTTTCAACACTCCAAACTTTGTCTTACTGTTGCTAGACTTCAGGTCACGGTGGATTATGGGCACCACGGCCTCCTCGTGCAGATAGTGCATCCCACGTGCGATCTGCACGGCCCAGTTGACCAGGATGTGCGGAGGGATGCGCCTCCCGGTCAGCGCCCGGTTCAGCGTGCCGCCTCGCGCGTACTCCATGACCAGGCACAGGTTGGGCTCCTCCAGGCACACCCCCTCCAGCTTGATGATGTTGGGGTGCTGCAGCATGGAGAACAGCTTCGCCTCCTGCTGCACGCTGGCGGCGGTGGCCGTTATGTCCTCATCCGGGTCCTGCCGAGCCGCTTTCACCGCGACCTCTTGCTCCTTGCACGTCCCCCGGTACACTTTGCCGAACCCGCCCACGCCTATGATCTCCTCCAAAACCAGTTCACTGAAGGGGATCTGCGTGGGCGAGCTCGGTACCTGCTCCGGTACTCCCGCCGCGCCGCTGGTAGCCGGGAGGCGATAGATAGCGGGCTGGTAGGTGACATAGTTGGAAGGGAAAATCCCGACCCGGTGGTTGAGTTTGCCCGTCCACCATCCCTCGTCTCCGGAGATCGCAGAATCCTTGGACAGGACCTCTACGACGTCCCCTCGCCGGAGACTGAGCTCGTCCTCGCCGCTCGCCTCGTAGTCGTAGGCGGCGGTCCACAGGGACCGAGTGGGGCACAGAGGGGCCGAGTGAGCACAGCCCCGCACCGTGGGCTCCGTCCAGACATGTTCCCCGGTCTCTCCCCCGCCCGGCCGCCCTTCACCGTTTGGGAAAGCGGCCTGCGAGACATCCATTTCTCGGTGGCCGTAGCGGCACCATAGGGTGCAGAGCTTATAGGACAAAACAACAACAACAACAAAAAAAAAACTTTTAAAACGGAACAGTTAGCTTTCTGAAACCACCATCGTGCCGTGGTCACATTTACGCCGCGGGAGAGGGGGTGTCCCTACGAGGCTAAACGGTGTCCAAAGTCCTGGGGGAGAGAGTGTGCACGAGCATGTGTCCACGTCTCCGCTCCGGTAAAAGTGAGGGTCAATGAGCAGCTAGCTAACTAGCCAAAACACGGCCACCACTTCCCAGGCTGATGCATGAAGAGACAGACTTTTAAAGCACCCTAGTCAACAGGTGGTATTGTTTCATATACGAAAAAAACAAACAAAAAAAAAAAAACAGCCTACAAGAGTCCATCTGCCTAAAAGCTACCGGGAGCCAGCTTGAGTTTTGCACATTACCGATGGAGCAAAGTTAGGAAGTTTCCGCAGGTGTCCGAGAGGTGCACCTGCCCCGTCCCACTCCCGAGAACAACCTGGGCTGCTTTCCCTTTCAAAGCCGCCAGAAAACTGCATGTAGGAACCGAACTGCGAAGCGCAAAGTCTGCCCGGTCGTTTGTGGACTTTAAACGAAGGTTTCGACAGCGTTCCAGACTTCTGGCTAGCGGGTTAGCTTAGCATAGGTCAGCCCCGTTGCCTGGTGCAGCGTTGGGAAGAGCCGCTCCTTCTTAAGATCGCTCTTTCCAAAGTTGATTTCTCCTCCCGAGGAAAAGACGAGCAGCCAACAGTTGGGGGATAAGAAAGCGCGCGAATAGGACAAAATCTAACGCATGAAAGCGTTTATGAAAAATATAAAAAGTATGTAAAGTTTCATTAAAATATGTCCCCTCCTACACCGCCGCTATAACGAAGCGGAGTCGGTCGCAACAGTAGCTGGACGCCGCTGTTTCCCCAGAGCTGGCAGTGGTGCTCTGTGATTGGTGGATTGTGTGGCACGTGATCCGAGCAGCAGTTGGTGGGGGAGGAAGGAGGAGCCACTGTAGGAATGTGTGAGGAGAGCGCGCTTTCATGGAAGTTATGGTTGTATGGAGAGGTGCAAGTGCCAAGAGTAAAACAAAACATAAAACTAACTTTGTTTTGTTTATAAGGCGCCTTTCAAAAACCAAAGTTATGAAGTTATAAAATACAATAAAAACAAAACAAAAAAGAACAAACAGAATTAAAAAAATCAAATATGTATTAATGCTGTTATTACAATCCTATTTTCATGGGCAATTTTCAAAGAGTAGACCCCACCCAGAAACGCCTTAAAATATTTTAAATGCCCGACAAGATAGGAAAGGACACTAGAGATATGTTCACAGTGTACATTTTATTGCTCACCACCACCCCACGCACACACACCTACTTACCAGTATTTTTTTCTTGTTGCCTATATTCATTTAATTGTTTGTGGTTGTTCAAATTATAATTCAAATGAAATTGCTTTCAGACTCCAGTGTGAATGGTCTATGTCCCCGAAGTGACCCGCGTGCACAGAAGACAATGTGATGTCACAGACAGTACTTTATATTTATGGGTGTAAATATGGATGCTACAGGATATGTCTTTTAACACCCACATTAAAAATGTTACCAGAACTGTTTTTCTTCCACCTGCATAATATTGCTAAAATTAGAAACATCTTGTCTAAAATTTATGCAGGAAAAACTGGTTCATGCATTTATCCTGTCTATTGCAATTATTTATTATCTGGGTGTCCAAACACTTTTTATAACTTCTTTTTTCTGGGACCCTGAGTACACATTTTCCTTCCACCTCATGTACCACGTGATGCGAATGACAATAAAGTTACTTGAACTTGAACTTAAAAAGTCTTCAGCCAATCTAAAATGCTGCTGCCAGAGTTTTAATGAGAATTGGGAGAGATTATATCTCTCCAGTTTTAGCTTCTCTCCATCTTCTCCCTGTCAAATTCAGAAAATAATTCAAAATCTTACTTCTAACATACAAAGCTGTCAACAACTTAGCTCCATCTTATATTATAGATCTTACTGTTCCATATTTTCCTAACAGAGCGCTTGGCTCTCCGACTGCTGGTTTACTTGTGAAGTTTCCAAAAGCAGAATGGGAGGAAGATCTTTCAGTTATCAAGCTGCTCTCTTGTGGAACCAACTTTCAGTTTCTGTCTATGAGGCTGACACATTGTCCAGATTTAGGATCTTTCCTTTTTGATAAATCCTGTAGTTAGGGTTGGCTTAGTTTCCTGACCTATTTGTTGTCCTATGCTATGGCTTAGTCTACTAGAGGACTAATTTACCTAATTTCATCAAATTAATAGTTATAAATGAATAGTTTGATGAATTAAATTGAATTATTTGTAATTATTTCTATTTTAATATGTGTTGTTGTTTTTGGTCTTTCCTCTTAGTGAGGGACCTACTCGCCTCCATCCTGGACCTGCCATTCTGTGTTCGTTTTTCTTTCTTGTCCTCTGAAAGTCAGTTACATGTCACATGCGTATCATTTCTGCAACTGGAGTGGACTTTTTTTTTAAATTCCATATTTGTTTCTTCCTGTGGTTACATATGAAATTGCAGATTGCTGTATACTTGCACACATAGTTGTACTTCTAGAATCGGAGCTGTATTCTGAAAGTAAAGAAGAGAAACAAACACAAGTATCACTCCCAACCTGCTATAGTATCAATACAATCTAACACCAATGTCGGTGTAGATTCTGAATCATAGGACATGTCAAATAAAAAAAGAGTAAATAAACTAAGCCACTGGACTTCTATTTTGTAGTTGAAGACATTTTGCCTCCCATATGGGGAACTTCATGACCTTAACACCTTCTACTGCTTTTTAGAGAACACCACCACCAGGTCAATGGATGGAACTGTCATTACGGCCCTGCCCTTTATTCTTCAGCATCTGGACTCCCTTGGATCTTACATCAGAACAGCAGGATTATGTTTGTTAGCAAGTCTGTGTGCAGGTTTTAATTTTTCATCATGAACAGGGCTTAGTTTGAGCCGGATCCTGATGGAACAGGATTCGGGAACTCTTATTTTGACAGGGTGCGTTCCAGTAACTGTTTGCTTGGATCAGTAACTCTCGAGCTTACTAATAATAAAGTTATGAACAAATTTGACTGCACTTAACCAATAAAACCTATATTGGATATGTAATCTGAAAATAATTACATAAACACTAATTTTAAACATAACAGCCACTTACGAGCTTCCTATAATATCACATAAGTGCTGTCCCTTCAAGTAAGCATTTCCATTTCTACCCTTAAAAAATCTCCACCCCTAAAAGTTCAGTCATGGGCAATTTAATTAAAAACACAAAAATATAATTAAACACAACTAAATTGCAAATCAGTTTTAAAGTTTAAGTGGGTCATTAATAAAATGTTGATGATTAAAAAAAATATGAGGGAAATGTTTGTTGGGTAATCACGTTACGAATGTCACTTATCAAAACAACGGCGTCAATTTGTCAAAATAACAGCGATCAAAATGTTGAAAAGAAAGTCCAATATACTTTAATTTTAAAAAATTCTTCTCATTGTACAACTAAACAATGGAGAATTGAAGCACATGAAGGCATGGACATGGAGATAATACTGGAGAAGGAGCAAGTGGTGTGGGGGCGAGTGCTGAGCTAACCAGGAGCCCACAGGCAGCCGCCATGAACAGCCTGAGGAGGAGCCTGGAGGTTTCACATGTGGAGGAGGACAACAACGAGGAGGACAGTGAATTCAACGGAATAGAGTCGGGCTTGGGCTCGGAACCGTCAGGTGGTGGTGGTGGTGGGGGTCAGGATGCTTGAGAGAAGCGGAACATGCTCTTTTCACATAAGGAGAGAGCTGTTGGTCAGGCCACTTCTTGTTGCTCTCTAAAATAGTTTTTAAATCAAGTGTTTACAAATGTAGGTAAATGTAGATGTTTAACAAACGGTTAAAATGCATCAGAATGCAGGAAATGGCATCTACTTTATTTAAAATTTCCTAGGGGATTCAGCATCGTTTAGTTTGCAAATTAAGCACTGTCTATGAGCGCTAAAGCTGTTGAAGGTATTTTTTTTTACATTCTATCAATGCAACATCCTATTTGTTTGCATGAAGGGGACCAACTTTTACTGGGACTGCTGATCTGATTTTGTTTTCAACTTTCAAAGTCCTTAATACAGTCTAGAATTTTATGAGTAGTGTAACACCATCAAGTATAAATGACGTTAATCAGAAATAAAAACATAATCTCTTTTTTTTTTTCTCTAAAGTGCATTACAGTATAAAATAAATAAAAAAGTCTATGGGGTGGCTGTGATGGTGGGTGTGGGTAACAAAATAATGTGCACACTTATAGTTTTTCTAGAGTAGACACACAAAAAAAGTTTGCTTGGTTGTGGACATGTACTTTGTAACAATTCAGTGAGACAGCAACAAAAATGTCCCTTTATTATCCATCCAGTCATCATCTTTTACCGCTTTTTCCTTTCTGGGTCACGGGGGTCACTGGTGCCCATATCCAGCACTGTGAGAGAGTCAGGGTACACCCAGGACAGGTCACAAGTCCATCACAGGGACACATAGACAAATAACTATTCACTCTCGCACACACACCTAGGGACAATTTAGAATTACCAGTCAGCCTAACATGCATGTTTTTGGTCAGTCGGAAGAAACCAGGGTACCCGGAGAAAACCCACGCATATGTAACCCAATAAAGATGTAACCCTATCCGTGTGAAATGGCACCTCACTACTTCCGAAAGCTCTGCGTAGTGTATTAAGGGTTGTTGTCGGAGTGCAGTTTGAGGCAGGAGTCAGACACACGGTGATTTGGGTCATGGTTGAGACTGTGAAGTTTATTTGGTGCACTTGCCAGCGGCTTCAACTTACAAACCATCAGTAAACACTCTGTGTTAACATAACTCACATTAAAGCCGTTTTCCAAATACAGTATATATTTTAAAAAAAACAATACAAAATTAAGTACTCTGTCATTAAACCTAAAAAGAGATTATTGAGGTTACAAAATTGTGCACATAATCCAGGAAGTACATAAAATGAATCAAATGAATGACTAGCAAAGCTTACAGCTGATATTTATAAAAAAGTCTTAAACACCTGAAATTTTGTCAGGCGACGCACCAACATCTCACTAACTGAATACATTTAAAAATGTAAACATTATACTAACAGAGTTTAAAAAAATAATTTGGCTATAGTGAGGAGCTAGCGATTAGCGGAGCTTACCTTACAAACCATAAGCAAACACTGATCGAAATCCTACCCGCTCAGCAGAAGTCAAAGTACGGTGTCCACTGAAGGACAAACTACACCATCTGCCTGAACCCACAGAACAAATATGATACCTTGGCAGCCTCTGCTGACATATTTAAGCTACCGCCCTACACGGAGAGAACATGCAAACTCCACCCAGAAAGGCCCCCAGCCAGGACTTGATCCAGCGACCTTCTCGCTGAGAGATGGCATCTTAGAGCTGTCATTTCTAACCCAAACCCGGTGTCCGGCCCCGCCCGACCCGGATTCGAAATGGGCCGGGCCATAATAATGTGTGGGCCGAATCAGTGTCTGGCTTTTTATTGCGTCAGGAACGCGTGCGGCTGACGATACAATATATGCAAACATGGCTTGCCATACCACACCTGTTACACGTGGCCATTCAACCGCGTGCGTTGAAAGAGGTAAAAAGTTCAGTTAAGCTTCAGATGGATCACTGCCAGTGATCCATCACCAAATGAACATTCATTCAGCCACTGCACTCAGCAGACGCGTGCGGCCGACGACCCAAACAGGTGAGATCACAAAATATCCGACATGTCAGAGCAGGATGCAGGCAGAAACAGGGGAAGCATTTAATGCGCTTTGAGAGCTCTTCAGCTCTGATCTTCTGCCCCCTCAGCCGTGCGCGTCCGCCAACCGTTAATAATAGTCGGCGGTATAAGCAGTCAAAGCCTAATTAAAAATGTTGTGGGGTTTTTTCCAGTTTCGGACCTGTAATTACTATTAATTTCTCGGAGCGAGTGAGGTTCGGAGATGATGGATACGGGCTGGGGCTGGGTCGGTTCGGATTTTTGGACCTGAGTGCAAATCTACGGCAGCTTTACCAACTGCGCCACCATGCTGGACCTTTTATTATTATTATCATCATTATTATTATTATTATTATTATTATTTGCTATTTGAATGACTTAGTGACTTACAGTACTGGCCTTCCCAATTTTACATTTTTGTCACTTGCTGTGCTCCATACATGGACCACAAACACACAGTGACAATGTGATCTAAAACAACAATGACTTCAAACTATTATAGTTTTTGCATTAATAATGAATGAAGCCTAAAGGTGTTTGCACAGCTAACTTACCTCTAAAAGCACTGCACTGGGCCTAACGGATATAAACACATATTTTATGATGCACAATGTGTTTTGGTTACATGTGGATTTCTCTCCAAATTGCTTGTCTCGTGAGCAGTGAAGGTGGGACTTATGAGAAAGGGACAGGGAGGCAGGAGGAGGAGGAGGAGGAGGAGGCAGATAGGGGGCTGTCAGAGCTGCGCATCTGTACGATTGGAGCAGAGAGAGGAGAGGAAAGAGAAGATACGAGCAGGTCAAGATGAAGACCGCGGCAGCAGCGATGCAGGCTTCGAGATTTGGACAGGAAAAGACAAACGAGACGAGAAACACCGAGGAGGACCGATGAGGCATGAAGGACAAGTCTCCGGAGCCGCGCTGCGTCGCTCCAACATGGAGGCGTAGCGACAGCAGCACCCGTTAGAGGAGGAAACAAACCCATTGTAGCCCTGCAGCATCAGCATCATCACCATCATCCGTCCAACCTGAGCGGAGTGGAGGAGGAGGAGCAGGAGGAGGAGGAGGAGGAGCAGGAGGCAGAGATGGGCTCCCAGGTTGTGCAGACCCTGCGTCAGGGAGTCTGGGCATCTCTGACCGGGGGATGGTACTACGACCCGGACCAGAACAAATTCAACAACTGCTGCCACCTCTATCTGTGGATCTTTCTCCTGATGCTCCCCTTGTCGCTCCATCTGGTGAGTTTCCTTGGAGGAACATGACGTTCAAGGCCTCGGAGGTGCCTATACCCTTGTATTCACGTTTAATAAAAGACAGATTTACAAAAATCTGGCAGTATTCTGGCTAAATGCGCGCGCTGTCGCAGTTTCCCTGCATGCAGCGTCGGAACGCATGGTTGCTCCTGCATGTGACAGTGGTGGAGCCAGGAAGCGTCAAACTGTGGATTAATGGGTGTAACTCAACCTGCATCCCTTCCAGAGATCTACATTTGTTGGCTTCCTGACTTATCGACCAGATTTTGCCTGAACAATAAAGCTCAGCTCCTCGTGTGTGACGTGGTTTTTGTGTGTGAGTGTGTTTTTAATTGATCTAGACCTTAAGTCATAGGGTCTCCAGTGAGGTCTATCTAAAGAAAGATTTATCTGTCCAGAATATTTATATTTACATGCTTGTTTACTGACCACTTTTATTATCTCACAGTGTTATTTTTCCAGGCTTGTACGTCTTTGTAAGCTGCCAACTTCCACTCTGAGTCAGGTTTACCATGAATTCAAGAAAAGCTGTGCCACCAAAAATGAATGACAGTGAATGCTAAAACAGCTGCTCCACCTACAATTAATTACTGTAAATGCAGGATGAACTGTGCAACCTATACTGCAGTATTTGCAAGCTGTGCTGCCTAAAAAAAAAAAAAGAAAATGAAAAATAAAAAATACATTCCACTGAAACATTTACCAAGTGATCTGGGTCCATACAAGGCCTCGTTTGGGTCTGGATCCCATGTTGTGCCTTTTGGAGACCTCTATTTCAGAGATGTCCCATCTGTGTGAGTTAAACCAGTCTTTTCATTTTGTTGTGAATTATGTCTTTGTGCAAAGCTGCATACTTTGTTTTCTGCAAAACAGTCCAAAAAAAATCAATGACAGAAATTTGTTTTTATTACAGAATTGTTACCAGGCTTCAAATCCGCACCTGGAAACACCCAAAACAGCCAGAATTCTGTCCAAAAAAGTATGACTTGTATATCAGTTTGAAGCAGATGCTGAGTTCATAATCCCCCAGCTCTTTTTTCTGAGCCATCCCTCCTTCTATCTGGGATCAGTAAACTTCAATAATCCCACTGATGATCAGCTCAGCTATCATGGTTGGCTGAGACTGTAACAGGCACTGGTTGTAATTTATTTGTGCCCAAATAAACACAAATAAATGACTCAACACCCGTTAAACCTTTACATTTATTCCCCTACAGGCTCTGCCACCTACCACCATGGCTTTGAGCATCTACTGCACTTCCATCACTGTCTTCTTCATCCTCATCAAGATGGCCAACTATCGGCTGCACCTGATGTTCGATGAGGGTGAAGTGGTGGTCCGCAGTCTGTCGGACCTCAGCAAGGCCCAGGAGAAGAAGAGTAATGCCTCAGACCCATGCTTGCCAGCCAGTATCAGGTGAAGACACTGAATACTTTAAATAAAAAATGACAACAGTCACAACGACCCATCAGATGTGCAAAAAATGTACATTTAGTTCTAAATACAATTGTATTTTTCTCTACACAATGCTCTGCCAGGTTGGTTATTGCGAAATCTAGACTAGAGAGCTAAATCCCTAAAGATACAACTTACCGTTGGCAGCACGGTGGCGCAACTGGTAGAGCTGCTGCCTCTCAGCGAGCAGGTCCCTGGTTCAAACCCCGGTCCAGGGGCCTTTCTGGGTGGAGTTTGCATGTTCTCTCCGTGCATGCGTGGGTTTTCTCCGGGTGCTCCGGTTTCCTCCCACAGACCAAAAACATGCATGTTAGGCTGATTGGTAACTCTAAATTGTCCCTAGGTGTGAGTGATTGAGTGAATGGTCGTTTGTCTCGTTTGTCTCTATGTGGCCCTGTGATGGACTTGCGACCCGTCCAGGGTGTACCCCGCCCCTTGCACAGTGATTGCTGGACATGGGCACCAGCGACCCCCGTGACCCAAAATGGAATAAGCGGGTAAAGATAATGGATGGATGGATGGACAACTTACCGTATTTTTCGGACTATAAGGCACACTTAAAATCCTTTAATTTTCTCAAAAAATCGACAGTGAGCCTTATAATGATGTGCACCTTATGTATTAATTCTAGTTGTGCTTACTGACCTCAAACCAATGTTACATGGTTATTGTGAATGAGTTTGACTTATCTGACTGTTTAGTTTCGCTTAATGGGCCTTATAATCCGGTGCGACTTATAGTCAGAAAAATACGGTAATTATTAATGCAAAAACATACAATTAGGGTTTAGAACTCATTCTAGAGAACCATAAATGCTGATACAGAGCTCCCACTTCAGTCTTTATTTTCTCTTTTCTCACTGATTTCATGATCAAATGTCATTCTTGGTGAACGAGTAACTGATATTAGTGACTTTTACTCAAGCTAATTGTTGTAACACGCTGTATGGAGATCCATCACTGCTTTTTCTTTGTATGACTGTACAGTAGTCCCTCATTTATCGCGGATGATCCGTACCCTGAAGATCCGCAATAAGTGAAAAACCACGAACTAGGAATAGTACAAGTAGTAAGTAGTAGTTTATTTTATTATTTATATATGTATATATATATATAAAGGAGTTTAAAACCATTCTCACACTTTTGCAACATTCTAAACAATGTTTCTAAACTCTAAATGCTCTAAAAGAACACGTAATGTCGTGATTTCAGCGCCCTTCCTCCTCTGCTCTTTGCCACCTTCATGCGCTGTTGGCCACGCCCACTTCTCCGCTCTGCATGGTGAACAGCTGATCAGCTGCAGTAGGAAGTTTATCCTACAGTAAGGGCTGCACAAAGGTGCATCAGGAGCTAAAGAATTTTAAATAGTTTATTTTAAATGAAAATTCCATGTCAATCGTGCGGCTCATCCATCAATCAGCTGATTGTGTGGCCTGTCCAATCTTATTTTGAAAAACCGTGATAGAGCGAGTCCACGATAAACGAACCGGGAAGTAGCGAGGGACTACTGTATTTCATTTCCGAGAGAGGAATAAATAGCTCTGACACAAACCTGCTTCATCCTCGGTATTAATTCAGCTTATTTTTGTATGAAAAACCTAAAATGCTGGGAAGAAAGAACAAAAGATTTCCTTTCAAAGTAAAGCACTAGATGAACTCCCACCTGACTCTGTGTTGTCACGGTTTCGTTTCCCCCCATCTCTTGTTTTTGTCCAACAGAAAGAGCAGCACTGTACCAGACAGTGTTGCCATAACAACGCTGGCTCAAAAGCGTCCCAGCCCAGTGATCCAGGTGACGGTTAAACAGACTGAAACTGACCCAGGACTCATAGGGGTGGTAGGTGAAGATGAATAATACACAAACTCTGTGCTGACTTGCTCAAAGTCCAGATTTAACTTGTTCTTTTTGTTCTTATGATAGGACTGCTCAAAGTCAGATGAGAGGAAAACTGCAGGTGATTCATTTGATACATTTCCCCTCACCGTTTCATTTCTTTTACATAAACAGCTTCATTATATTTGGAATCTAAACCCTTTAGCCTTTATTAAACTAATTTAATTAAATAAACAACATCACAACACTGCAAAGCTTCTGAAATGTCTAATCCCAGTTAAACTATTTTTAACAATGGTGTTGAACAATGCTATAAAAAGAGCGATTGTACTATTTGAAAGAGTAATGCTTTTTTTAGACACACTTTATTGTACCTAAAAAAGCTTTAGGCACTTTTGCACTTCAGAGTGCAAAAATGCCTAAAGGTGGATCAGTTTTTAAGTTTTATTCTTAATCTAAGGTTTATTTAAGCTGCTGTAGCTAAAATTCTAACCATGCATCCAGTGCCGGACCAAGCCTCCATGGGGCCCTGAGCGAAATTTGGTTTGGGGCCCTCTATTTCTGCTAATAATGTGGATTAATCAGCAGTCAGATGATCAGATCTTTCACCCACCTAACATAAACTCATTGCAACTCTGACAGCTCTGTTTACATTATCCTATGTATATATGTGGTACTAAAAGTAACAAAATAAGAATAAAACAACAGTATGTAGTGTATTTTTCAGCAAAAGTGTCATCTGGTTTATTAACTTTGGTGCCAAAGAACTGCAACAGTAATGTTCAAAATAATTTGTAGTGCAAGATCAACAACAAACAACAGATAAAGTAACTTAGATGAATAAAAATAAATTAAATTGTGCAAAAACATACAAAATAAAATAAAATAAAATATCAAGGAAAATTCTCTGCATTTGTTCATTTACATTTAAATAATGTAAACGAACATTTACTTGAAACCATGTATGCATCCATGTAACAAACCTGTACATATGTAAGTGTTTGGTAGCTTAGGTAGCAGAAATTTGGATCTGGAACAAGGTTAACAAATCACATATTGACCAAAGTTTAGGCCATGTCAGCAAAGATGCTAACGTGTTACCCTATATTTCCCTTCAATTTTGTCGTTTAGTTGGCATAAAGCCAGACTTGGTTTTGACTTTCACAGCAGAAAATCAAACAAGTACAATCAAAGAGCTAGCAAAAGAAAAAACACAATACAACAATTAGAAGAAAAGCATGACAAAAGCAAGTATTTTATCTTAGAATTGCAGACTTTGCATTTGCTTTTAAAGCCCTTCTTCATTTTTGAAGGATGGCTTAATTTTTGCATGATGTCTGTGGCTCAGATGAGGGAACAAATGAAAGTGGCCTTTAGAGCTGGGTTTAATTAGAACCAGTTAAAGATTTCAAGAAAAGTTAAAGAGAAACGATAGAAGCTATGGGTGTTTAGGAGCATTGTAGAAGCAAATTAATTTACGTGTGCAACTCCAAAACAGAAAAATAAGGGTTTGTTCATTAAACTGCAGACAGGAAAATCATTTACGCAGATGACACCTGCTTTTATTTGAAGGAACATTCCAGAATAAAAAAATATATATAAAAACATACATGGACAGTACACAAAGTTTTTTTTTATAAAGATGACTTCGGATGTTTAAAAAAGCATGTTAACAGACTGTCCTGGATGGAAGCAAACCCTGTTCTTTTCCTCTATTTGGATGGCTCCTCGGACAATTTAAACTGACAACATTCTTTTCTGCAAACACTGTTTTGACAGAAAATGTGCAACCTATAATTTAGCCTGCCAACAAGTCTAGTAGTTATTAAACAAAGCAAAGTCAGCTTGTCATAAAAAAGGGACATTACCATTGGTGCAATGGATCAGGTGACTGTATGTACAAAATTTAATAGTGAATGACATCTGCCTTCTGTGCCCTTATTAATTGAGAAATAAAGCTATAATAGTGTGAGTCATGGCAGCTAATCAAACAAAGTTTTTTTTGGACTAAATAAATAACAATATTAGTCATTCCAAAATAAATCAGTTTTCTTTCCATTTCAGGACAGTGTGAGAATGCTGCAGAAGAAAAATCCATGGCAGGAAGTCTGCAGCCAAACCTTGAGCTGTCTCCAGATGATCTCTCCAGCCCCAATCCAGAGCAAGATGCCCCACTGCTGCAGGCCCAGCAGAAGTCCCCATCCAGGACTGAAAAAGAAGCCTCTCGTCCCAGATCTGATACTGAAATGGCAAAAATACACACAGATATAAGTGAAACTGGACCCGTGACAGAAGGAGTGGACATTCAGACCTCTTTGTTGAGGAAAAACAGAGCTCGATCAGAGGAGGGGAAGATACCAGAGAAAGACTCTGAGCTGGAGAGAACAGAGGAGACAGAGTTTGTGAATACAGAGAATGAGGACAAGGAGACAGTCGATGAAGGTTTGCCACCTTCAAATGAGAGTGGAGATGAAAGTGAGAAGGGAAGTGTGGGGGCAAAAGAGCCCTCGGATGCTAACAACTCACTGGAGACCCTAAAACATGACCAAGATGAGTTCATTGACATCCCAGAGTCTCCAGAGCAGGTGAGCTATGCAAACACAAAAGAGAGTCATGTTGTGACATTTACGAGTCTTCATAAAGAGTGCTTTTATAAAAAGCAGTGGAATGTGTTTGAATTATTCACACATTCTGTTCAGAAGTCTATCCTCTCTTGTATCAAGTTTCAGCCTGATCCAGTGGAAGAAACATATTGTTCTGATGAGATTGAGGTAGTTTTGGTTGATACCTCCAGTCCCGGTCCTAAGTCTGCCCTCCTGGACGACAGCGACATGGTCAAGATCATAATTACAATGAGCTGCGACCCTCAGACAGCTGCTCAGCTAGAGGAGAGAGTCAAGCAGAGCCTTCTGGAGAACGCACAGGTCAGACGGAAAAATCATTGAACTTTTGTTTTCAGTATCCATGGTAAGTTTATGTGGCACTGCAAAAACTGCAGCAAAACACTTTTGACACGAGAAATAGTATTTTCTACAAAAGTGCAGTGCAAATGCTTAGTGCTGCAAGACTTTACTGACATTTGTCGAAGAATGATCCATTTACTGAACTGACAAAATTAAAAAACAAGCAGAACAGAAGCTGTCGTGTCAGGAGACAGAGAGAGAAGAGGAAAGTCAAGAATGTAGGACTGAGGGTTGCAACTCTAAATGTGGGGACAATGACAGGCACAAGTAGAGAGCTGGCTAACATGATGCAGAGAAGGAAGGTAGATGTTTTATGTATCCAAGAGACCAAGTGGAAGAACAGCAAGGCTCGCAGCACTGGAGCAGGGTTCAAACTGTTTTACCATGGTGCAGATAGAAAGAGAAATGGAGTAGGGGTGATCCTGAAGGAGGAGTTGGCAAAGAATGTAGTTGAGGTGAAAAGAGTGTCAGATAGGGTGATGTGCCTGAAAGTAGAAGTAGAAGGTCTGATGCTAAACATTGTCAGTGGTTATGCTCCACAGGTTGGATGTGATGGGGAGGACAAAGATACATTTTGGAAAGATCTGGATGAAGTGATAGAGAGTATTCCCAGGGAGGAGAGAGTGATCGGAGCAAACCTGAATGGACATGTTGGTGAAGGAAACAGAGGGGATGAAGAAGTGATGGGTATGTTTGGTGTCAAGGAAAGAAATCAGGAAGGACAGATGGTGGTGGATTTTGCAAAGACAATGGAAATGGCTGTAGTCAACAATTATTTCCAAAAGAGGGAGGAACATAGAGTGACCTATAAGAGTGGAGGAAGGAGTACACAGGTCAACTACATTCTGTGTTGAAGAGGAAACCTGATTGAGAATGGAGACTGTAAGGTTGTGGCAGGGGAGAGCGTGGCCAGACAGCATCGGATAGGTGTGTGGAGAATGACTGCCGCTGTGAAGAAGAGAAAAAATTAAAATCAGAGAAGAAGACCAAATGGTGGAAGATGAAGAAGGAAGAATGTTGTGAGAAATTCAGAGAGGAGCTGTTAAAGGGTCTGGGTGGTAAGAAAGAGCTTCCAAATGGCTGGGATACTACAGCAACAGTAATCAGAGAGACAGGTAGGAAGGTACTTGGTGTGTCATCTAGACACAGAATAGATGATAAGGAAACCTGGTGGTGGAATAGTGAAGTGCAGGAAGAAATTCAAAGAAAGAGGTTAGCCAAGAAAAAATATGACAGTGAGAGGACTGAAGAGAGGAGACAGGAATATAAGGAGATGGGAAGTGGCGCAAAGAGGGAAGTAGCTAAGGAAAAGAAGAAGGTGTATGATGAGTTGTATGGGAGGCTGAACACTAAAAATGGCAAGAGGTACTTATACCGATTGGCGAGACAGAGGGATCAGGCTGAAAAGGATGTGCAGCAGGTTAGGCTTGTTAAAGATAGGAATGGTAATGTTCTCACAAGTGAGAAGAGTGTGTCGAGAAAATGGAAGGAGTACTTTTGAGGAGCTATTGAATGAAGATAATTAAAGAGAAAGAAGAGTAGAGGTCATAGAAACTGTGGACCAGGAAGTGGGAAAGATTAGTGAGGGTGAAGTCCAGAAATCTCCGAAAAGAATGAAGAAGGGGAAGGCAGTAGGACCTGATGACATACCAGTAGAGGTCTGGAAATGTCTTGGAAAGATGACAGTGAGGTTTTTAGCTCAAATATTCATTGGCATATTTGAGGATGATAAAATGCCTGAGGAATGGAGAAGTGTGCTTGTGCTCATTTTTAAGAACAATGGTGATGTACATAGTTGTTGCAACTACAGGGGAATTAAGTTGATGAGCCACACAATGCAGATCTGGGAGAGAGTTGTGGAAGCAAGACTTAGACGAGAGGTGACTATCTGTGAGCAGCAGTATGGTTTCATGCCAAGAAAGAGCACCACAGATGCCATATTTGCTTTGAGAAAGCTGATGGAGAAGTACAGAGAGGGTCAGAAAGAACTCCATTGCGTCTTTGTGGATTTAGAAAAAGCATATGACAGAGTGCCAAGAGAGGAGGTGTGGTATTGCATGAGGAAATCTGGAGTGGCAGAAAAGTATGTTAGACTGGTACAGGACATGTATGAGGACAGCAGGACAGTGATGACATGTGCTGTAAGAGTGACAGATAGCTTCAAGGTGGAGGTGGGAGTGCATCAAGGATCAGCTCTGAGCCCCTTCTTGTTTGCTCTGGTGATGGACCGACTAACAGATGAGGTCAGGCAGGAATCCCAGAGGACTATGATGTTTGCAGATGACATTGTGATCTGTGGTGAGAACAGGGAACAAGTGGAAGATAACTTGGAGAGGTGGAGGTATGCACTTGAAAGAAGAGGAATGAAAGTCAACCATATTAAGACAGAGTATATATGTGTGAATGAAAGGGAGGCCGGTGGAACAGTGAGGCTACAAGGAGCAGAGGTCACAAAGGTGCAGGACTTCAAGTACTTGGGGTCGACTGTCCGTGAAAATTGGGAGTGTGGTAAAGAGATTTAAAAAAAAAAAGAGTCCAGGCAGGATGGAGTGGATGGAGAAAAGTTTCAGGAGTGGTTTGTGACAAAAGGGCGTCAGCAAAAGTCAAAAAACAAGTTTACAAGACAGTGGTGCGCCCATCTATATTGTAAGTATGATCTGGACTGGAGACAGTGGCATTGACAAAAAGATAGGAAAACAAACTGGAAGTAGAAGAAATGGAGATGTTGAGGTTCTCCGTAGGAATGACAAGGCTGGATAAGCTTAGGAATGAGATCATCAGAGGTACAGCACAGGTTGAACAACTGGGAGATAAAGTTAGAGAGGCCAGACTGAGATGGTTTGGACATGTCCAGAGGAGGGACATGTTAAGGATGTTATAAATGCCACTGCCAGGAAAAGACAAAGAGGAGATATATGGATGCGGTTAGAGAGGACATGGAGGTAGTTGGAGTGACAAAGGATGCAGAGGACAGAGTGAGATGGAGGAGGTTGACTCGCTGTGGTGACCCCTGAGGGAAAAGCTGAAAGAAGAAGAAGAAGAAGAAGAAGCAGAGTATAAGTTAAAATCAGCAAAACAGGAGCTAAATGTTCAATTAGCAAACCCTTAGCTATCGTCTAAAATTAGTAAAACTGTAGATATTTGGCTACATTTGCAAAAATTAAAAGCCAAAATTAGCAAAACAGAAGCTACAAAATGTTGCAAAGCTGTCTAAAAGTGAGCAAACCCATAGCTAAAAGCTAAAATCAGCCAAACAATAGCTGCAAGTTAAAATGATCAAAACAATATCTAAAAGCAAAAACGAGTAAAGACAGTGGTTAAAAACTGAACGTAAATAGGTTTAAAAGATTAGCAAAACACAGCATAAAGCAAAAGTGAATAAACAGTAGCTAGATGCTACAATAAATCAGTAGCCAAAAGATAAAAATAGCTAAATCACATCAAAGTTCATGCTCAATCATCCAGGCAAATCCAATATTGCTCAGTCAGGTCATCTGGCTGTCTGCCTGGGAGGAGTCGACAGGGGACAGGACAGCCCCCAGAAACCGTCTTATCTCCAGCAGACTGGTTGGTCCACTTAAGGAGTGGACTGCTTGGTAGGGAAACCGTTTACTTGGGACTCCTCAGACTGATGAAGGCAGATAGAGGGCAAAATGTCTTTCTACAAAAAATAAACTGTCCAGATGACCTGACTGAGCATTCTTCGATAGCTAACTCACAGTTAAGAGCTAAATGTAGCTAAACAATAGCTAAAAGTTAGTTTGCAATGCAGCAGGTAAAAGCTGGAAAAAAACGAGTACAAGAAGAACAGCAGAGCATGTATGCTGAAGTAACTTTTATTAAACAATGTTTTGAAGGAATTGAATGTACAGTCTCTCAGTTTTTTAAAACAGTTTTGTAAATAAAGTTAAATATATTAAAAAGTGTAAAAGTTGCAAACACTAAAAGTCATTGCAAGTTATTCCCAGTCAAATCGTAAATACTAATATTTAAATGTTTTAAATAGCACAAAATACGCAGAAGCATCTCAATCGTAAATGGATGAAATTATAAACAGGACAACAATAATATTAATTTGATCATTTTTATTATTAATAACTGATTAGTTCTGCTTATCAGCTTAAAACAGTTTATAGTTTATTTTGACAAAGTTACAGCTATTTTATGTTTGCTTTGGTTGGTTATATGGTTGCCATATTAAATGTGATTGACTCCAAAACCTAATCTGATGCAAACATACATCAAATTATTATTATTTGTTTTTCTTCTGAAAATTTTCTTAAAAATCAGTTTGGGTATTCATAAACTGTTTTGCTAATATTACACATCATTGGAGACACATTGGGAAAAGAAAAAAAAGACTTTAACTCTTTAGCTTTCAGAGGTGGGCGATAAAAATGAGCAGCATTATAGTACTGCTGTAGCTAAATATCTACTTTCATCATGTTTCTATCGTTAAGTTTTGTCTGATGAGCTATGTGCTTTACTTATGTACTTTAAGTTGCGATGTTATTTTTTTTGCAGTGGATAAGCAAAAACAAAACACATATTAGAATCCTTAAAATGCACCCTGTATGCCTCAAAATTTAAAACGTGAGGTGTTTAATTTAAGGGTTTGTGTGACACGTCTGTGTGCGTATCCTTCAAGGCTCAGAAGGATGCGGGGGAATGTCACATCAAGATCCCCGTCATCACCTTCGACTCCCCTGAGGAGGAGAGGCAGAAGCAAGAGGAGGGAGAGGAAGCGAGTGGATCAGAGAAGGAGGACGCCACACCCAAACATCAGCAGACCACAAACCTAGGTGAAGAGTTTCACCTGTGTAGAGAAACGAGTAGTCCTGAGTCCTCCACGCTGATGGAGCACCCAGATCCTCAACAGGAGCATCAAGGACTGAAGACTGACACTACACCGAGTCCACAGCTGACGAATGACAACAGTTCATCCGGCATTGATGTCCGCTCTCACACTGACGATACAGACCCTCTGGATTTGAACGTAGATTCACAAGGTTTCCTGCGTCTGCCACCAATCGTGGGCCGCTACGGACCTGGCGGAAGGACTCACATCCGAGGACTAAGCATGGACAGTGGTAAAGATCTACTTTCAGAGCGTTCACATAACACGGTATGTTTAGCTTCGTTTCCATTCCTGCTTCCATGTTTGTTCTTGTAAACACCATCCTGGGTGAAATGCACTCACAAATGATTTATTTATTTATTTTTTACATTTTCATCAGACCACTATGACCAGTTCCAAATCGGATCTGGAGGCCAAAGAGGGACAGATTCCCAATGAATCCAATTTCTTGGAGTTTGTTTCATTGTTGGGGTCCCTCAGTTTGAGAGGGGGAGGTGGCAGCACACAGGAAGAGGAGCAGAAAGGCAGCAGAGAAAAACTGGATGCAGAAGAGGAAGGTTGATCCATCTTTTTTATCTAAACATGTACAGAGATTGAGCAGCAATGTTTGCATGACTACAGTGTCGGCTTTGGTTTATTATTACGGTAACAGTGTTTCTCTTGGTGTTTGATCAATAAGGCTTACAGTATAACAGAAAGATCCTTTTGTTGACCATTACCGCTAAGATCTTACAGTTTAATAAATTCTAATTATTCATTTGTTATAAAAACACTCATTTAAAATACAAATAAAAAAACATACTATAAGAACTAAAATATTAAATAACAGTAAAACATGTAAAATCAAATAATTGTGTTGTAATAAGCATACTTTTGTCAAGATAACCTGTTTGATGTCAGAGTGAGTAAGTATCTTTAATAATTGACAGTACAGTCAAGGTCAAAGATTTAACCTACATCTTTTACCTCAACAAACAGTTCATGTCCTCTAAGTCCTCTAAATCCAGAATAAAGAAAATATAATTATTAACTTACCCTGAGCCATGTATTGTACACTTTGATCAAATCACCACAAATTCCTCAGATTTTATTTTTCTATCCTAATTACTGAGGCTGTAGTTTGGGTATTAGCTCATAATTAAATTTTCTTTATCTCTCTCCATTGAAGGTGACCAGACTTTAACATAATGTTCAAGATTAAGTTTAATATATCTTTTATATAGTGCTAAAATGATTCTTTGTCAATAGAAGTAAAAAAAATTTGATCATACCTAATATGCAATTTATCTTGGTAATATACTTAAAGAATCATAATCTGTTTGTAACCACAAAAAATCTTTTCCCTCTCTGTTTCTAGTACAATTACATTTATATATTAATTATAACATGAATGTATTTTTCATACATGCAACAATTTACATTTGGCTTAATTAAAACCCAATTACCACCCATTTGATCATGATATTAGATTATCAATGACGTCTTATATTTCTTGAGAATGAACCAAAAACAATATTAGATAATATGATTAAGTATAATTGATATGGATTTTACTGTCAGTAGATTTTATGCTGGGAAGATCATTAATCAAAGGTGTTAAAAAAAAAGGCCCAGGAACGCACCTCTGAGGTACTCCACTATTAACATTTAACTAACTCAACTGTGCTATAGCAACATAACAAATACTTCAAATTATTTTAGTCGTGTTAGACTATATCTTAAGTAGCAGATTGTCCTTTAAAATTAAGGTAAAATGAAGATTGTTATCATATTAAATTAAAGGTTTCGTTTTTTCTATTAGTCGTTTCCAGTGTTTGGCATAAATACAGCTGATTAAGCATCAGTGTTTGGAAAAAAAAAATTAAAAAGGCTATACTTAACCCCGGAAACATAATCTTTTAAATGAGAAGTTAATGGTCTTCAATATTAGTTCCACATCTTATTCAATAGGAAAAAACAAAACTTGTGTTCCTGTTTATATTAAATAAAAACAAAGTGCTATATTTTTGAGCATTGATACTTTGAAATTCACGTTGCTACTGTATGTCCACAAATTCTCATTCAGATTGTGGTTGTGAGTTACAAAAGAAATGGCCAACATGGAAAAACTGATGCTTCAGTTTAGTAAAGTAGAAATGAATGAATACCAAAGTTTGGCTTTTTAAAAATCCAGTTTATGATCCTGTAACTTGTTGTGAAACCAAAATAGCAAGCAAAACACACAGTAAAGTTGTGTCATTTTCTTTCAGCCGACAGCACAAAAGAAGTATTTCTGTTTTGTCTGTGTTCAGAAAATCAGAGTGACATCCCCAGGGCAGATGCAACAACATCAGATACGAACACTGAGAACAAATCAGAGCGCCCCAAACCGCCCACCAGCCTCCCAACGAACACATTACAGGCCGTCCTGCCCACTCACATCCCAATAGTCTCTCCTGACAGGTAAATGTCTGCAAAAATCATTTTTGTGTGTAAAAATATGCTGTTAGATTTACAGATAGAGCTTCAAGATGGACTCAAACCTCATTTTATTTTCCCTCTGAAGTCCACAGACAGAAAAAGATCCCGACTACGATTCTCTCCCCTCTCAAACCTCCCAGTCTGAGAGCTCCATGCTGCAGGTCATCTGCAGACCTGAGGCTACAAATAAAGAGGAGGCCTACACCTTCCACACTGTACACAGTAAGCACCAACCTGTCTGCACTTTTGTCACCCGTTGTCATATAAGGTGAATGTACTGTATATACCTGTGTTGGACTGTCTGTTAGCAAAATATGTCCTAAAACGCTGGTCAGATAAGAATTAAACAGTCACACTGTGTTTTGTAGGCAGCTGTTAGCTTTTCTTCAGCAACAGGTCAAAAAGATAGCAGCTTCATTACTCCAAAATGTTAATCTGTTTACCAGTAGTCTTCAGGCTAAACAAATCCCATATTAGTTTTTTTATGTTTTTCTCCAAATACAATAGCCTGAAGAGCTTTGTTTTTATTTGTTTGATCAGGAGACAGACCTCGTAAGCTGTACGCAGAGAGAGCCCTCAACCTGCCACTAGGAGCCGAGCTCATTACAGGCAACATGTGGTACGTCCTCAGATCCTTTCAAATCTCCTCCTCCAGTCCGCTTTTATCCTCTTAGTCATCTTTTCCTGGTTTTGACCTTTCTTTAACATCTTACTTCATATGATTATTTCTGTCAGATTTGAAAGAAAGAAAGAAAGAAAGAAAGAAAGAAAGAAAGAAAGAAAGAAGAAAAAGAGAAAGAAAGAAAGTGCTATGTGTTGTCATCATTGTATGTTCCTATACAATGACAAAAACTGTGCTTTGCATTTAACCCATCACATGTGAGATGCACCCAGGTGGAGCAGCGGGAAGCTATGCGAGCACCCAGAGAGCAGTTCGAGATTAGGTGTCTTGCTCAAGGACACGACATGTGGGCATGGCAGGGACCCTGTGACATTCTGGTCCCAAACCGTCTTCCCTACCTCTACACCACGGCTGCCCCTAAAACTTACGGCACCTAGTATTCCCAGGCGGTCTCCCATCCAAGTACTAACCAGGCCCGACCCTGCTAGCTTCCGAGATCAGACGAGATCTGTCGAGTTCAGGGTGGTATGGCCGTAAAGCCAAATTTTCACCCTATTTGTTGTTTTGAATGATGATTTAGCAGTCACTCTTGTTTGTTCTTGTTTGATTTTGTTGTACATTTTTGCAATCTAACTACTTTTGTATATTTTTGTGCCATTCGAACATCAAAACATTGAGCTTATTTTGAACATGAGATGCTCTGTTACTTTTAATATTTTTTCACTTTATTTACATTTTTTTTCCCCTCAAAGAAATATTTTGAGATATTGTCAGTGTTTCTAAACTTTCTCTTTTTGCTTCAGCAGAGTTGCTCTCTCCCCCCGCTTTTAGGCAATTTTTTTAGTATTTAAACTACCATTCTGCTACTTTTAGTTTCTAGCAAGAATTTTGATATTTTTAAGTTGTCCTTTTGCTACCTTTTAAAAATATTCAGGAATTATTTAGCTAATTTTAGCTAACCTTTTGCTATTATTTAGCTACTTTTAGCTTTTAGCTTTGAGGGCGGCTGTGGCTGAGTGGTTAGAGCAGTCGTCCTCAATACAAGAGTTGGGGGTTCAAATCCACCAGCATTCACATGCCGAAGTGTCCCTGGGCAAGACACTGAACCCCTCATAGCCTCTGATGTGTGTCCCATCGGTGTATGAATGTGATAAAGCTCTGATTAGTCTCTTTAGAATGATTTGTTCAATTATCTTTGTAGAGATCTAGTAGAGTTCTGTATGGATGGATAAATGAGGCACAGATTGTGTTGTAAAGTGCTTTGAGTATCTCGACAAGATAGAAAGGTGATATACAAGTACAGTCCATTCCATTTACCACTTAGTCTTTTGATATTTTCATCTATCCCTTGCTTTTTTAACTTTTAGCTAGCCATTGGCTACTATTAGCTAGTTTTTGCTATATGTAGCTTATAGCTACTATTTTGGGATTTTAGTTGTTTGATGGGCAGCATGGTGGCGCAACTTGTAGAGCTGCTGCCGCTCAGCAAGTAGGTCCCTGGTTCAAATCCTGGTCGGGGGGCCTTTCTGGGTGGAATTTGTATGTTTTCTCCGTGTATGTGTGGGTTTTCTCCAGGTACTCCAGTTTCCTCCCACAGACCAAAAACATGCATGTTAGGCTGATTGGTAACTCTAAATTGTCCCTAGGTGTGAGTGAGAGAGTGAATGGTTGTTTGTCTCGTTTGTCGCTATGTGTCCCTGTGATAGACTTGCAACCTGTCCAGGGTGTCCTCCGCCCCTCGCACAGTGATTGCTGGACATGGGCACTGGCGACCCCCGTGACCCAAAATAGAAGAAGCGGGTAAAAGATAATGGATGGATGGATGGATGGATAGTTGTTTGATTCCTTTTGCTATATTCACCTTTTAGCAAACCTTTACCTACTTTTAAATTTTAGTCTGTGTTTTAGCTTTTTTGTTTTAGCTAATCTATTTGTTACTTGTTGCTTTTAGCTGCTATTGTTCCTTTTTAGCTTTTAGCTAGTGTCTTCCTTTTTTTACGTATTTGCTATTGTTCTGTTTTTTTATTTAATTTTTTTTTTTAGCTTTAACAGTTCAGCTTCTTCATTTATGATGCATGTTCCACAGAAATTGCACCGTCTTTAGTTTGCTTGTAATGCCGTCCTGTCCTGTCTTTGTCTGCAACCTGTCTATGTTCAGTGACCTGCTGTCAACTTCTTCCAACTCGGAATGCCAGGATGGGATTGCGGGTGCTCACACAGACTGTCCTTTCCAGCGGCGCATCATTCCTGCACACAGGCTGCGACCACGAAGGACGCACCCGGAGATCTTTCAGGTGTCCGTCTTCTTTTCTCTTTTTGTTCTTCGCTGAACCTTAGGGATAAAACTTGTAACATGCTAGTGAAAGTGGTCAACTTCAACCTGACAGCTCACATGTCTTGGTGTGTCTAAGTGTACGAACAATTAATTTCTGTGCACACGTGAACCAGGAAGAAGACTCCTTGGATGGTTCGTCGGAGACGTCCACGCAGGAGAAGCCCACCAAGAAAATTTATTACAAACTCCAGCTGCTTCCTGGAAGGTGGATCAACATTTTGTACGACCGGCTCACCCTGCTTGCGCTTTTGGACAGGTGACTCATGCATCACTTTTGGAAGTCACTCTAACAATAAAGTCTATATTTCCTCAGTGGGCAGGTTGGAAGTTTATGACACCTCTACATGCACTGCTTGGACTCACTTTTTACCTTTGCATGTGATGTTTTTCTAAAGGAACCAGGACGTTTTAGAGAATCTGGCTGCGATCATCATGGCCTTCCTGGTTTCCTTTCTGGGGTTTGTACTTCTCAACCACGGTTGCTTCAAAGACTTCTGGGTCTTCCAGTTCTGCCTGGTCATTGCCAGCTGCCAGTATTCACTCCTGAAGGTAGACCTTCCACAACACCTGCCTTATCTTTGCTTGAAGCGTTGGCGTTGCCTGCTGCTGGTAACCCCGCTTGTTTTCAAAGTATCTCATGAACATCAACTAACTGGATGATAATCAATCTGAGCAAATGCAAAAATCACTAACTCGGTCAATTTGACAGATTTTGAGCTAAAATTTGGCGTGGTAGTAGATATTGCTACTCCGCTCCTGTTTCCTGGAATATCTTACAAAAAGAATTGAAGCTCTCGACCTTGACCTCTCTAAGTGGCTTTAAGAATCTGTTGGACTCCTGGCAGGGTCCAATGCTGAAATGTTCCTGTTTTTAGTTTTATACATTTGTCTTGGAATCTAGCTGTTTTTTTTGGTTTTGTTACCTTTTTCCTTTTAGCCATCCTATTTGTTAAAAAAAAAAAAAAAAAAAACAAAACTGTAGTATGAGTTTTTATAACTGCTTATTGTTGTTGCTGTTGTCCATTGTTGTCATCTTTCTTTGTTGAAATCAGGTCTCTCTTGTAAATGAGTCCTCGAGGCTCAATGGGATTTACCTGTATAAATAAAGGTTGATTGATAGTTGAGTGTCATCTCCAACACATACTGTAAGTGCTAACACATTTTGTGAGATCTTGTCACATTATGCATGTGAACACACCCAAAACGCTCTTTCGAATGTGACAGATTTCTTCAGAATAAGAGTCTCGACTTCAGCAATTATGTTTTGTGACTTTACTGAACTTGAAGGATATAAAACAAGCATATTCAAAACAAAAAGAAGGTGACAGTCAGAAGACTGTTTCTTTTGGGTGCATGTCTTCTGCTCTGCTGTTGCTTTTTGTGCTTTTATGCTACAAATTCAACAGTCAGTCAAAATGCACCACGTAACAAGCTTATAAAACATGCAGATATTGCTAATTATCCTATTCTTTTAACACACTAACAAACCATTAGTCACAGAAGTAACTTAAATTGTAAAAATAACATATTTTGCATTAAGATTTCAACTCTTTTGTATAAATGGCTCTTACAATGTAATTTACAAGTTATTGGACCAAAAGCTATAACTCTATCCTTTCTTATGTTAAGATGATCTTAGCTTAAGCTGATGTTAGCTGAAAACGCTAACATGAAAGGCGGTGGGCGATATGCATTTCTTCAGGGAATGCTAGGCCTTATTTTTTATGCTTTTGTGATATTTCACAGAATGTAGCTCAGTTCTTCTATTGGCTTGTTTTTCAGAGTGTTCAACCTGATGCAGCATCACCAACACATGTGAGTTTGTTACTTTATAACTACTAAATAAAAGAAAACGGAAACATGTGACTTCATCGTTTCTATGCATTCAGTATTTCAAGTTGTCATGACTTTTAAAATCCCATTTCGACATAACCATTTTGCTTTCCTTCACCACCAGTGAACATTGAGAGCTCTTCAGGGCTCATGATGTTTGTGTTAAAACTCAAATTAAAAGCTTAAGGAGCAGGCACAAAGTGTTACTAATTGGTCTTCCTTGATGTGTCCGTGTTAAAATCATCTAAATCTGTGTCTCCAGGGCCACAATCAGCTGGTTGCTTACAGTCGAGCGGCCTACTTTTGTATTTTCTGCGCTCTGATTTGGCTCCTGGAGCAGCTGTTGAGGAGAAAGGACCTGCCTGTTTCCACTCTGTATGGAGTCACCATCATCTGCTACGACATCCTGCGCTTCACACGAGACCTGCTAGTTGGTGAGCAGGCCTGCAGAAGCACAAACACTACTTACTGTTTCTCCAGCTTGGCGTTGTCTTTAAAAATAATAAGAATTGTGCTTTGTTTTGTGTCTAAGGTTTCACCTACTGCTTCCCCGTCACCTTCCTGGTGGGCCTTTTCCCTCAGATTAACACCTTCACCATCTACCTGCTGGAGCAGATCGACATACACTTCTTCGGAGGAACAGGTTCATACCAGTGATTACTATTTTTGTTTTTAAAATAGTTGCAAGTAAATCCAGGTACTGGATTCAGGTTTTTAGCTGCTTTTGTTCCTTAACTTTAGAAACTTTGGAAATCTTATTATGTCCCACTCTAGATCTGAACAAACTCCAGCTACATGTACTAAAAGCATCAGGGCATGGGTTGATCAAATTTTTTGACAACGATGTCATTGCTATCACTAGATTATGCTTTCGATTATGCTAAAAACTCATTAAAAGAACAAAAAACAGCAACAAACAAACAGCAGATTATAAGAACTTGCAAATAATTTGCATTTGTTCATCACAGACAGACACTGAAAGAAAACTCCGAGGTATTAGCTTTTATTTTCTTGTAATCTGCTTTGTTGAAATCTTAATTTACAATCCTAAAAGTAGCAAAAAACAGTTAAATAAAAGTAGCAAAAATCTAGCTAAAAGCTAACAATTACAAAAGGTAGCTAAAAACTACAAATACCAAAAGTCTAATAGAAGCTAATAGTAGGAAAAGACTAGTTAAATTCTAAAAGGATTAAAAAGCTAAGTAAAAGCTGTAAGTATAAAAAAATCTAGCTAAAATTAGCAAAAAGCAGCCAAAACCAAAAGTAGCTATGGCTCGCTAAAAGCTAACGGTAACAAAAAGTAGCTAAAAGCAAAATATAAAACAGGTCTAGCTAAAAGCTAAAATAATCAAAAGGTTGGCTAAAAATACCAAAAAGCTAACTAAGAGTAGCCTAATCAAAATGTAGCAAAAGACTTGCTAAATGCTTATAGTAACAAAAAAATATCTAAAAGCAAAAATAACAAAATCCTAATAAAAAGCTAAAAGGAGCAAAGGGCTAGTTAAAAACTAAATGTAAGCTACAAGTAACAAAAGGCTGCCAAAAGTAACAAAAGGTTAGCTAAAACAATAACAAAGGGTTAGCTAAATGCCCTTACCACAGGCTAGTTACAAACTCAAAAGTATCCGAATGGTAGCCAAAAGCTAAAAGTAGAATAGGAAATCAAAAATAAAATATGTCTGCTGAAGCAAATTACAAAAAAAAAACCAAAAACAATGCTATTTTTAAAGAAACTGAAGAGATGTATTTCTATGAGACAAGTTACAAAAATAACACCCATCTCTTGAATGAGCTGAACGTTTGAAACATAAATGGCTAAAATAAAAATAGCACAAAGATTACAGAAGTAGATGGATGGCAAGAAAAGTACTGAACAACAAAAACAGGAAAACAACAGTGTGAAAGCTGAATCACACAACTGGTGCACAAATTTAAAATAGTTTATACATGTGGTTGATTTAGGGATGAAACAACAACAGCTAAACGATGGGGATGGAAACGCTCGTTAATCCAAAACCATTCTGTATCAAAACCTTTATGAGCATTAGTCTCTGATCCAACATGGACAGTCCCATATTTCACACCCATGTAAGCCCTGATGTACAAATGTTGTCAACAGTCAGTCAGCGACTCTTAGCTTGCTACTGTTTCTCTTGACTGACTGAATTTTATTTTCCAACGTGTATCTCAGCTGCTACGAGCCTCATCTCTGCCATCTACAGCATCCTCCGCAGCCTCATTGCTCTGTCTCTGCTGTACGGGTTCTGCTTCGGAGCTCTCAAGGTAAGAAACAATAACAACAAAGGACAGCTCTGCTAGTGCAGATACAATGATCCCTGGTGTGTGTTTGTGTGTGTGACCACAGGAGCCATGGGATGAGCAGCACACCCCTGCTCTGTTCTCGGGTTTTTGTGGCCTTTTAGTCGTGTTCTCCTATCACCTCAGTCGACAGAGCAGCGACCCGTCTGTGCTGCTGTGAGTTGCTCCTCTGAATATTTCAACGTAAAAACTTTTGTTGTTGTTGTTGTTATTTTCTCATGTGTTTTGTGAGAAACAAACCTGCTTCATTTGATTACAGATCACTGATCAAGTCAAAGATCATGCCTGCGCTAGTGGAGAGCGAAGAAGACGAGGAGGAGGAGCGGGAGGATGCAGAGATCAAAGACCCGTTGCCTGAGAAACTGCAGAACTCCATGGTAATTCTGGATTAAGACCTTTAAATGAACGAAAGATGCGTTGTGATGATTTAGTTTTAGTTTTGTACAGTCGTGTTGCAGGAAGACGAAAGCGCACTCCCAGTGTGCGCTCATGAAACGATCCAGCCCAGAAAAACATTAACTCATGTCAGCTCACGATAATTACACTCAGGCAATCAGCGCTCATAATCTCTGTGAGCCTGGGAGCAAGCAGACCTCAGTAGATGTTCTGATGAGAGTGAGATAAAGCAACAAATCTGCTGCTGATTATTACATGTGCTAACAGAGAATTGTGCAAAACAAACCTCTCATACCCTGTTAGAGTATTAGTATTACTATACTGTAAAGGCTCCCACATACTCGGGAGTACTTCACTCCGCAGAGGTCCGCGTGTACCCGGTTAGACTCAACGCAGACTCGAAGTGGATGCCCGCAAGCCATGTCCGCGCAAAGATCCATTTTTACGACAGCGTATGCGTACTCGGTGTCACACAGTCAACTGCCTGGTGACAGAGTGTTTTGTATTCATTCAGCCTTTATTTATACAGGTTAATCCCATTGAGCCTCGGGGACTCATTAACAAGAGAGACCTGGTATGCGACACCAATTATTAAATCGCCCTTCTTCATCCCTGATCTGGTCTAATGGCCTTTTGTTTTTGTTTTTGCCAAGAGGCAAGCGATCTCTTCCTCCTTGTCCATTGATGCCATAACTGAAATTGTGAGAAATTAAGGAATGTGTCATGAGAGAATTAAAATCAGGCCTGGCGTGGCTGCGGGAGGGTCTGGAGATTTCCCGGTGACACTGTCTGATGTGTGGGCTGCAGGGCCAGCGCTCGCTCACTGTTTTTTCTTTTTATTAACAACATATAAACACAGAACACTGCTGCTCCTGGGCTGCCAGCTGCCTCTACCCAGGGCCACCGGCAGCTCTCGCTTTTTTTTTTTGGCGACTTGTCAATCAATCCATTAGGTGTGTCAGCAAATGACCAATCGGTAACCTCAATTTGTCCCGAAGGTAAACGCCCCTTGTCTGCAGAGCTGGGCTGCAGCTCGCTCGAGTATGAAGGCTCAACCGTCTGTGGACAGTGCACGCAGTGTCCACGCAGCTCACGGAGTGCACGCAGTACGCCCGAGTATGTGGGAGCCTTAAGAATATTAATAAGTAGTGTGACCTTTACTTGGGTTGCTTTATCTGGAGGATCAACAAAAATAGGAAACAATAATTACACAGCAGAGTGAGCCTGAGAACTGACATGGATTATGAGTAATTGCAGCTCTTCCTGAAACCTGCAGAAGGAGATTCTGCTGTCAGATGTTATCGTGTGCTCTGTTGCCTACATCCTGACATTCGCCATCACGGCGAGCACCGTGTTCCTCTCCCTGAAGGTCTGAGTCTCACTTGTTTCCCAGTTTTCCTCACCTCCAAACTCAAATGTTTTGTCGACTCCTTTTTCATTCTCATTTTCCGACCTCTTTGCAGCCTTTTGTGACCATCGTGCTGTATGCTCTGGCTGGGACGGTGGGCTTTGTAACCCACTACCTAATCCCCCAGCTGCGGAAGCACCACCCGTGGTTGTGGGTCTCGCATCCGGTTCTCAAGACCAAAGAGTACTACCAGTTCGAACCCAGAGGTTTGCATCCCTGGTGCATGATAAGAGTTTAAAGAAACAGGAATTGCATTCAGTGACTACTTTTGTTAATGCAGATGCTGCTTTCTCTTTCACACTTAAACAAATGGTTTTGTATACATTCATAGCAAATTTTCCCATAAATCTTCCCAAATTGGTTGACCTGTTGAGGGTAAACCATTTACCATATTTTTTGGACTATAAGGCGCACCGGATTATAAGGCACAATAAGCAAAACAAAACAGTCAGATAAGTCAAACTTTATTCAACTCATTTACAAAAACCACATAAAATCAGTTCAAGGTCAGTAAGCACAACAAGAATTAATACATCAGACGCACCTGATTATAAGGCTCTCTGTCAATTTTTTGAGAAAATTAAAGAATTTTAAGTGCATATTTTAGTCCGAAAAATATGGTGCTTTCTCTGGACAGACCTTCAGCATGACTTTAATCAAAAGCTGTCCGAGTTTCAGAACCTTTCATCTCGATTGTGCTACAGAGGATGCAGTGCTCATGTGGTTCGAGCGTCTGTACGTGGGGCTCCTGTGCTTTGAGAAGTACGTGGTGTACCCCGCCATCGTGCTCAGTGCCCTTACCAATGACGGTTTCGCCCTCAGTCATCGCAAGCGGCTGGGAATCCAGTGAGCGGACACACGCTGTCGTTAAAATCACACATCAGGCCTGCGGACAGTTCACGCTCAACACGCCTGTTTTTGTGTGTGCTGCTCCCAGTTGTGACGTTCTGCTGACGACGATCGCCGGCCTGAAACTCCTGCGCTCGTCCTTCTGCGATCCGAGCTTCCAGTTCCTCACTCTTCTCTTCACGCTCATCTTTTTCTACTTTGACTGTCCGCATGCCTCCGAGAGCTTCCTGCTGGACTTCTTTGTCATGTCTATCGTCTTCCACAAGGTACAGTAAATCAAACCATACCACCTTCCATGGTGGAGTTTTAAACCAACATGCTCCGGAAGTGTTAAATTATAATATTAAATAACTTTTGCAAGTCTTAAAATTAGATAAAAGTTAAAAACTTTAGCATTAACTCATAGATTCTGCCATGTTTGTCTTTTAGCAAAATATAATATGCAGTGCAGGACAGATTTTAATGAAACTCTCAGAAATTAATCATTGGATGTACATGTATAACTGATTAACTTCTGTAGTCAGTCTGATTCAAGATGGATGCCACAGCTAAATGACATTACCAAACAAATAAACAGCTATAATGCAGTCATTTTTATAGATAATAAGCTGAAATTTGGTGTGGTAGTAGCTGAAACTGATGCCTAGCACATAATCTGAGAGCTAAGAGATGATGTTCATTATAGACATTGGCGTGCCACATAAGGGGACATGTTCCTTCAAGAAATACAAGTTTTTTAATTACATACATTTTCTTTATGTATATATATATATATATATATATATATATATATATATATATATATATAATGACACTGTGTCACATCATGTGTTGTTTATCTGGACTTAAATTTGAGAATTGATGAGAACATGTTTATTACAACAATATGAACTGAAAAAGTGTGTTTTCACTTTCTTCCAGATGCGCGAGCTGCTGCTAAAACTCCACTTCATCCTGGTTTACATTGCTCCCTGGCAGATCGCCTGGGGCAGCGCCTTCCATGCCTTCGCTCAGCCGTTCACCGTGCCTCGTATCCTTTCTCCGAGACCCCCTCGGCAGGCCGAGCGGGCGCATGAAGACGCGTCAGCTGCGGTTCTTTTCCTTGACCGATGCGTTTCCAGATTCAGCCATGTTGCTGCTGCAGACCCTGATCACCACCGTCTTCTACACTCCGCTGGCTCCCTTCCTCGGGAGTGCCATCTTCATTTCCTCTTATCCACGGCCAATCAAGTTCTGGGAACGAAACTACAAGTAAGAACTTTTACTGAGAGGAGGGGGAGTTTGGGGCCGGTTTCTCCAAACATAAAACATTTTGTGTCACGTTTCTGCCCCACTGCAATAGTTTTGTCTTCGTGTTTTGTTTTTATTCGTCTGCTCATGTTCAAGCTCTGCTCCTTCACTCTATGCCATGCCCCCTTTGCTCCTCCACAATAATCAGCCTTCATCTCACGCACCTTTTCTGCTCTCTATTTAAGCCTCAAGTTTTCTCTCCCTAGTTGCCAGAATATTCTGAAAAGAACCAGGATTTTGGATTCAAAATGAGCTAGACAACGAGAGTATGAAAACAAAAGAAAAAACACATTTTATTTATTTTGCAGCTCCAGGAGAGAGTCACCTGTCAAAGTCTGCAGGAATTACATCACTGGTAGTGGAGCAGAGCAACTGTAGAGGACGTAGGATTGGGCTGAGCATAGTTAGAAGGGGCGTCCAGAAGCAAGGTCCAGTATAACAAGCAGGGGTCAGGCACAGGGGGTCAGAGATCCAAATCCAAAGCCTATATGTGATCCGTGAGACATGGGCGTGATGGAGGACAGCAGAGTCGGTACTGTGGTCAGAGAGAGGAATCCAAAACAAGCAGGGAGCAGGCAAGATGATGAATCCGAGAGGCAGAGGTGAGGTCAAAACAAGGCAAGGTAAACAAGGCTGCTGCATGAAACAGGAATGGCTTGATATTAGGGACCATAAGGGGTTTAATAATCTGGCAGGGAAAGAGTGTGAGCATGACATTTAAATAGTGAGGAACACAGATGTATTGAATCAGGGCTGATGAGCTGAAAGTGCAGAGGGGGGCGTGGATGAGAGGCAGAGCATGACAGGGCAGAAATATGACATGAGGGGCTGTGAGTGAGGCAGGGGACAGAGGATGTGATCATGACACGAAGTGTGACAGGAGCAGATGAGAAACATGACAGACAGCATGAAGGGAGGGGCAGAAACATGACATTTTGTCTCAACTGTGGGAACAAACAGACAAAATCCTTCTAATTATTCAACAAATTTACTTATTAAATGATGCAATAAAAAGACTAACTTTGTCAGACAGCATTTTTAAATCTATTTCATTTTGTTGCAGAAAGTGATACATATGTTTTCTAAAATATTGACTGAGTCCTATTGAATATTTTGAGGAAATCATATCAATAACCTACTTGTTCACTAATAGTTGAAGGCTAAAAATACTTTGTAGTTTCTTATAATCTAATATGTGTTTGAGTAGATTAAAAAAATAAATTTTTACAGGATATCATGATAGCATTTACACTGTAGCGTGCATTTGCAATTTTTGTAATTAGGAATGTTAGAATATGAAAAATTGGACTTTTTTGTGGGATTTATTTTAACACTCATCAAACTTAACGTTATTAAATTCAATGTTCTGTGAATTCCTCCCACATTTACCAAATATAAAAGTGCCGCTCCCTTTCTGCTTATTGAAGCGATCCAAAAATACTTCTGCAGCTTTGTTGTGTAAACTAGCTCAGGATTATATTTAGAGCTGAAGTGGAATTTATGATTTTAAATATAACTCACAGCAAGTCCTGATTTGTTTAGTTTAAGGTGGGTCTGTATTGTTGCTTTAATTCAATAAATTTTATAAAGGTGATATAAAGATGAATAAGATGCAGATATTATAATAATTTTTTTCTTCTTTCTGCACCCTTTTCATTCAATGTTTTTATTTTCGTTATGATGATTTTTTTTCCTTTTAAATGAATGAATACGTGAATTAATAAAATAATAAAAATAAAAAATAAAAATTAGTGGAGAATTTTCCGACACGTTTTTGTTCGTTTTTGTCTCCTGATCTTTGTAGCACAAAACGCATCGACAACTCCAACAGCAGACTGGTGTCCCAGGTGGACAAGGAGACAGGTTTGTCCTCTCAAACTATATTAACTTAATCTAAGTACTGCAGATTATTTTATTTCTGTCCTCAGAGACAAATGGAAGCCCAATCCCACTGATCTGAACCCCTCCCACAAAAAGCTTATTGCTAGAATCTCTTAGTCCTCTGTGAATAGTAAGCGGCCATCAGGGCACTAACGATCGGTCGTTAGGCTGATGGTCCTCTTTTATCACGTGATCAGCTAGTTTTGACTGTCACCATCAAACTGGGTGACCCACTATAAGAAGGTGCCATTTATAAGACTGAGTTTATTGCAGCTCCTCTGAATGAAGAAGTATTCTGGATAAAAGACGAAACATTTCAACAAGAAGAATCCTTCCAGAGGACCTGACTTTACTTTGTTAGATCCCATATTATGATTTCACATTTTAGAAGTATGGCTTGGCATCTCATAAATGAGATCATATCCCGTAATTATGAGAAGCCAAGTCCTAATTTTGTGATATACTCTCTTAATTATGACTTGGAAATGCTTTTTCCTTTGAGTGGCTTCCATTGTATGTTTCTAAAAATAATAAATTCCTCTGAATCTTTTCCCTAAACCAACATATCCACTTGAAGTGTTTGTTGTTTAGTCACTGAAAACATCATTTTCTTCTCTTTGCTCTGCCAGGTTGTGACGATAACAACCTCAACTCCATCTTTTACGAGTATCTGACCCGCTCACTGCAGCATTCGCTGTGTGGCGACCTCATGCTGGGTCGATGGGGAAACTACAGCGCCGGCGACTGTTTCATTCTGGCTTCAGACTACCTCAACGCCCTCGTGCACCTCATCGAGATCGGCAACGGCCTTGTCACCTTCCAGCTGAGGGGCCTGGAGTTCAGAGGTGCACTTAGACCATCGTGTTGTTTTTATGTTGAATGATTGACGAGGCAGCTCAGTTTCTGCTCACCTCCATGTGTCCGCCTCAGGCACTTATTGTCAGCAGCGGGAGGTGGAAGCCATCACAGAAGGAGTGGAGGAGGACGACGGGTGCTGCTGCTGCGAGCCGGGTCACCTGCCTCACATGCTGTCATGCAACGCTGCTTTCAACCTGCGCTGGCTGGCCTGGGAGGTGATGGCCACCAAGTACCTGCTGGAGGGTTACAGTATCAGCGAGAACAACGCCGCCACCATGCTGCAAGTGTACGACCTTCGGAAGCTGCTCATCACCTACTACCTGAAGGTAGGAGCGCTTTTTTAGTATGAAGCACCCAGAAACGGACGTGTTCTGACCGAGTGTGGGCTTTCAGAGTATCATCTACTTCCTGGTCCACTCCCCTAAACTGTGCACCTGGCTCAAAGATGCTGCCGTACAGGAGGCGCTGCAGGCCTACACCAAGTGGCACCACATCGAGCGCGACCCTCAGGTCTTCAGTGCGAAGATCGATGAAGACTACGTGCACTGCCTGCAGGGGGTGACCCGCGCCAGCTTCTGTAACGTCTACTTGGAGTGGATCCAGTACTGCTCTGGGAAGATGGAGACGGTACAGTATATCACCTGAGGACCAGTCTTTATACTTATATAGCCTGTACAGAAACGAGCCAGATGTAAAAGTTTAACTACAGAAATTGCATTTTTGCATTTCCAGCAAAAATGCAGCGTGAATGCTTATTGCAGACAAACTTGCTGAGAAACAGCTGAAATTAGCTTAAAAAAATCATACTGAAATGTAGCTGAAATGGAAAAACAAGCCAAAATTAGCAGAAGCAGAAAGAACACATTTGCTAAAATAGGTTTAAATATGCAGAAATTAGCAGAATAATTAGGAAAGTAGCTAAAAAATGCTGAAATTAGCAATAAATAAATAAACAGTTGAAAAGTAGCAGAAATAGCAGGAAGAAACTTATCAGAAGGAAATGGAGAGAGTTCATTTTCGTTGAATTAGACTGAAAAAAGTTGAAATTATTGCAAAAACTCTGGAATTGGCTGAAAAAGCTAAAATTAGCATAAAACAGCTACATAGTAACTGAAATAACTGCAACTAGTAGAAATAGGCTGAAAGGAGAATAAACAAGCTGACATTAGCAGAAACAAGTTAATTAGGCTGAAAGTAGAAGAAATTAGTACAAAACACTGAAAGTAGCTAAAAAAATGCTGAAAAGGTAGAACAAGCTTAAACTACCTGAAGGAAGCTGAAAGTACACGTATTTGCTCAATGTGGCTTAAGCACAGAAATAAGCACAAAGAAGTGGATATTATCTGAAAAAAGCTGAAATTAGCAACAAACAAAAAAGCATCTAAAAAGTAGCTAATAAAGCATAAAGAAGCTTAAATTACAAAACCACAAGGAAGTGGAGAGAGCACATTTTTGCTGAATTAGGTGGAAAAATGTTTACATGAGTGCAAATAATGTGGAATTAGCAGAAAAAGCTACAATTAGCATAAAATTTGCTAAATATTAGCTGCAACAGCAGAAAAAGCTGAAGCTTGGATAAATAAGCTGAAAGGAGCATAACAAGCTGAAATTAGCAGAAAAAAGTTAGAAGAAGCACAAAAATGTTGTAGTTAGCAGAAAGAATCTGAAAAGAGCACAAAACAGCTGAAATTAGCTGAAAGTAGCTGAAAAAAGTTTAAATTTGCACAAGGCAGCTGAAAGAAGCTGAACCTGAATAAAATGTGAAAGGAGCAGTAAAAGGTTGTAAACAGATCTAAAGATTTGAAGGATTTAAATGAGCTCAATTTATTTTCTATGAGAAAAAAAGTGGCAGAAAATGTTAAATGTTTCAAAAGGCTAAAATTGCACCAATACCAAGTCATAGCACCCTTCTCCTGAACGGTCTGAACGAGGCGATATATAATTTGTTGAAATAGCACAAACATTGCGCAACAAGAAAGATGCTGAAAAATGTACAGAAGAAAAATGGATCTGTGTGAATGCTTCATAAACATTCACACTATAATGCTCTGTCTCTGCCTTTAACGATTTATTCAGTACAAGATAAGAAAAACAAACGACGAATGATAGAAACACATTTTGTCTCTATAAATCAATTGCTGGAGAAAACATGTTGGCCCACATCCGTGCGTCTTCATGTTTTGGTTTGTTTTTGTGACCGTCCAGCCTGTGGACAGCGATGAAGACTCCGCACTGGTGACCCTGTCCTACGCTCTCTCTGTCCTGGGGAGGAGATCCCTCGGCACGGCGTCTCACAACATGTCCAACAGGTGAACGAGAGAGTGCAGATGTGTTCCGCTCTGCAGTGTAATAAGATACGTCTGGTGTTTTTCTGTTTGAAAATCTTTGTATGTTTGTTTGTTCTCTAAGTAGGCATCAAAACATTCTGTTTATTTAGGACATTAAACTTATGACTGTTGGTATTTCTAACATTTTTACTATTGAATAGCTTACCTTTCTTTACATTTTTTACATAAAAAATTCATTGTGATCTGTTTAAATCCTTAAAAAAAATTGTGAGGACTTGCTTCCTCTTTAGCTTTTAACAATTATTTTGATAGTTGAAGCTCTATAGCTGCTGTTATGCTAATTGTATTTTTTATTTGGTGCTGTTTTGATAACTTTAGGTGTTGGCAACATTTCTGTAGGTTTTAGCTTTATAGCTAATGTTCTAATTATATTAGCCTTCAGCTACCGTTTTAGCTTTTTGGTACCTTGTTGCTAATTTTAGCTATTTGCTGCTGTTTTGTTGGTTTTCACAATTATGTCCGGTTTAATTAATACTACATTTTAGCTACTGTTTTGCTAATTTGACCTGGTAACTATTTATTTGCTAATCATAGTTTCGGTTTTGCTTCTTTTAGTCTTATTATTATTATTATTTTTTTACTGTTTTGATAATTTCAGTACTTGTTATTTTTGCTTTTTTTGTTGTTGTTTTTGCTATTAATTTGATGTTTTTAGCATTCAGCTGTTTTGCTAATTTTGTTTTCGAGCTAGTATTTTGGCAACATGAGCATTTATTGTATTGTTTTAACATTATCAATTCAGCTTCAGCTTCTTCCATCAGTTATTAGACTGAAATGGACAGAAATTAATGAAGTTTGAATCAGAACAGCTTACTTTTTCTGATTTTCACATTCGTCTGCAGTAAACTGAGAGTGTCTAAATCAGCTAAAGTAAATTCTATCTTGAGAAAAACTTTATGTAGTTCATATCTGAGAAAATAAACCTTCAGATTTTGGTGTAAATTATGTAAGTGAATCCTAAAAATAGACAAAAGCTCACAAACATGTTAAATCAGTTTGTGATGAGTTGATTAGGTCCAATTTTATTTTAATATTATAATTTTTATCTTGTTTAAATTTACTTCTAATATAAAAAAATATTGCTCCTCAATTATGTACAATAATTTGAAAGTAACTTGTGTGTTGACAAGTGAAACATTGTTTTTAGTTTTACTTTTAGCTGCAGTTGCAAGATCCTACCAGGAGAGGGCGCCTTCATCAAACCCTAAAACATCAATTTTCAAATAAGACTTTTGTCCCTGCAGTGAAACTGCTTAGTTTTTTTTTTTTCATGTAGTTTAATTTTAAAATGTGCTTCACAAATGTTGCATTTCCTGTCTTATTTCTCTTTCTCCCACAAACCCTGTCCTGCACCGTGAAGCCTGGAATCCTTTCTGTATGGGTTCAACACCCTGTTTAAAGGTGACTTCCGCATCACCACAAAAGATGAATGGGTGTTCACTGACCTGGACCTTCTGCAGAAAGTGGTGGCTCCTGCGGTCAGAATGAGCCTCAAGCTGCATCAGGTAAACCTGACAGCAGTAATTTGGCTGTGGTCCAGATGTCTGAAGAGCTTCATGATGTTCGGTCTGCCCTGCAGGATCACTTCACGTGTCTAGAGGAGACCGAGGAGGCGTGCATCCTGTATGAAGCCATCACAAACTACCGCAGCAGCCTGGTAATCTGCCATGAAAGTGACCCCGCCTGGCGTAAGGCCGTGCTGTCCAGCCGCGACACGCTGCTCACCCTCAGACACATGATCGATGACGGCACGGACGAGTACAAGATCATCATGTTGTACAAACGCCACCTCAGCTTCAAGGTCATCAAGGTAAAACATGGAGGGGTTTGTGTACGCGAGAAGAAGTTCAGTTTGTAGGCTGCAGCTTTTTGTGCAGAAGCACAGGGTGAAGGATGCCACAACAGCTGAACGTTCCTCCTGTGGTTCAGTTTGGATAATGGCCTTTAGGGTCAGTTTAGGTTTAGGTTGGATGATTTAACTCAAGTGTTATTCTACACCTCATCATCACAGAGTCTCTGCTTTCAAGTAAATCACATTCTGTATATATGCAAGCTTTAAAGCTCATGAGATGCAACAATGAAGTGATACAGAAAAGCTTTTGCAGGGCTCCATACAGAGAATGTTACTTTTCTAAAGTTTAGTTGTAATTTGATACAGTGGCGGTTCTAGAATTGAACCTTAAGGGAGGCTCAGCCCTTAATGATGCCCTGCTAGGGCCTTTCAGATAATATCAAATCCTTCTGCTCCTTAAAGGGATAGTCTGGTCAGTTTAAAGAGATGTTCTGTCAAATAGTTATCAGTAGTTAGTATCTTATCAATCATAGAGCACATGTGGAAGAAGAAGCACAATACTTTGTTCAAGCTAGGCTAACGGCTAGCCAAAAGAGGACCAAGTTGGTACGAAAGAACATTTCATAAGCTGCTATAAAGCATATGCTATAAATGCTGTCCCTGTGATGGACTGGAGACCTGTCCAGGGTGTCCCCTCTCTCGCACAGTGACTGCTGGAAATGGGCACCAGTGACCCCCCGTGACCCAAAAAGGAAGAAGTGGAAAAAAAAAAAGATAATAGATGGATGTATGTTTCCTTAACTGAACAATGCCTGTGTTGCTATGAAATATAAATGTGTAACTAGCACAATTAGATTAGCCTCTAGCCTGGATGAAGACTTTTGCCTTTTTCCCAGTACTGATGACACAGCTTATAAAGTAACTGTTGATAACTACTTGATAGACAAATGACCAAACAAATACTTACTAGTACTCTCAGATCATAAGATTTAAATAGTTCACCGTTAGAACATACATTTTACTTCCTTTTGTAATAGTTTTTTTAAAAAGTTTTTTGTAGCTTCAGTCTGGTATCAGCAGCAGCTTCGACGGCCCTGTATAGGGTCGGCCCGACACGGGAATTGGGGGTTCTTAATAATCTTCCTTTTTTTTCAGGAAGCAGCAGCTTAAATAAATTGAAAGTCTGAACCCTCATGTTTGTCTTGTGCCCTCCTTTAATATGTTGTGCCCTTGGTGGACGTAACACAAGCACAAATATTACGCTTATATCTAACATGGTTGAGTCAGGTCCTCTGGACGGATTCTTCTTCTTCTTGTTTCATCCAACAACCTGCTGTCATTTCCACACTTTCAAATTTTCCTCCATCTTGCTTACCTTCTGGACCTCCTCTCTGCAGATCAATAAGGAGTGTGTGCGCGGTCTGTGGGCGGGTCAGCAGCAGGAGCTGGTGTTTTTACGGAACCGAAACCCAGAACGTGGCAGCATCCAGAACTCAAAGCAAGCCCTGAGGAACATGGTGAACTCGTCCTGCGACCAGCCGCTGGGATACCCCATGTATGTTTCAGTCTCGGCTCTGCTGCCACGTTGTGAAAGTCAGATGGACGAGCCTAATTTTCTGTTCAACAATCCTACACATCCTTTTTGTTTAGGTATGTGTCACCACTGACGACGTCGTACGCAGGAACGCACCGTACGCTCCGCAGCATCGGAGGAGGCGCTTTAAGCCTGGATGCCATTCGTTCCTGGCTCTGCTCTAAATGGCTTCGGTCAGTATATATTTCCCCCCTTCATGAGGTCTGGCCATTCCCGCCTGCCAAGCTCAGCCTTCTCTGAACTTCTCCCTGTCACTGGGTCCCACAGCCACCGCAGCCTTCCTCGTAAGCAGAAAACCCAGGGAACAGAATGTATTTATTTTGGTCAGGAGTTCAACCAGCTGTCTGAGGATCTCTGAGTAAGAGGCTCTGGATAAAAGGATCACTTGAATTGATTTTGGCACAGACAACATGCACATGCACATGCACATGCACACCAAGGACTTTCCAGACACCTTGTGAACTTAATCTAATTTTAATGACTTAGACAAAAGAATTCACAGGAGATAGTTTCACTTGTGGAAAAACAAACAACAGTTTCTAACTCAGCGGCATTCAAGTGTATGTTGCAGCCAACACACTATTACACTTTGTGCTAAAGATGTGTTGTGCTGTTGTTGTGTTGCTGTTGTGTTGTGGTGCTGTTGTGTTGCTGTGTTGCTGTATTGTTGTGCTGTTGTGTTGCTGTATTGTTGTGTTGTGGTGTTGTTGTGATGCTGTATTGTTGTGTTGTTGTATTGTTGTGTTGTGGTGTTGTTGTGTTGTTGTGTTGTGGTGTTGTTGTGTTGCTGTGTTGCTGTATTGTTGTGTTGTGGTGTTGTTGTGTTGCTGTATTGCTGTGTTGTTGTGCTGCTGTGTTGTTGTGTTGTGGTGTTGTTGTGTTGCTGTGTTGTGGTGTTGTTGTGTTGCTGTGCAGCATTTTCCTGCAACGTTCAACATTTTTCAGTGAATCCATCTGTTTCCCAGTGGATTGCTTTCAGTGCAGAGGTCACTGAGAAAACTGGTTCAGGGTCCAACATTCAGACTCTGTGTGAGCTGACAGACCTCAGAGGCAAAAATACTACTAAAAACTACTGCTGCTACTACTACTACAACTATTACTACGACTGCTATTACTACTACTATTACTACGACTGCTACTACAATTACTGCTACTACTACGACTATTACTACTACAACTATTACTACTACTATTACTACGACTGCTACTACAATTATTACTGCTGCTGCTACTGCAACTATTACTACTACAACACACTACTATAACTGTTACTACTACTATTACTATGGTTGCTACTACAATTACTACTGCTGCTACTACTACTACAACTATTATTACGACTGCTACTACAATTACTACTGCTGTAGGTACTACTACAACTATTACTACTACAACTATTACTACTACTATTACTATGACTTCTACTACATTTACTACTGTTGCTACTACAGAGCTGCTGCCTCTCAGCGAGCAGGTCCCTGGTTCAAATCCTGGTCCGGGGGCCTTTCTGGGTGGAGTTTTCATGTTCGCTCCGTGCATGTGTGGGTTTTCTCCGTGTAGTCCGGTTTCCTCCCACAGACCAAAAACATGCATGTTAGGCTAATTGGTAACTCTAAACTGTCCCTAGGTGTGAGTGAGAGAGTGAATGGTTGTTTGTCTCATATTTCTCTGTGTCCCTGTGATGGACTTGCGACCTGTCCAGGGTGTCCCTCGCACAGTGATTGCTGGACATGGGCACTGGCGACCCCCGTGACCCAGGATGGAAGAAGCGGGTAAAAGATAATGGATGGATGGATGCTACTACTACAAATATTACTATGACTGCTACTACAATTACTACTGCTGCTAAAACTACAGCTATTACAACTACAACTGTTACTACTGCAGCTGCTACTACTCAGTATTTGATTGATGTATCTACAACTGCTACTATTGTTGCTACTACTATTATTTCTACTGATGCTTCACCAACAACAATCATCGCCGCTGCCAGCATCAATCATTTCAGAAAGTGCAAGTTACAAATTAAATATATTCCTTACACATAAAGTGAAATATTTCAAGTCTTTATTTCTTGTCATTTTAAAATATTGAACCTCTTCACCATATCCTAATGTTCTGAGACACTGAGTTTTGATTTTTCATTTTTGTGAGCCATAATCATCAAAATTACAAGAAATAAAGACTTGAATTAGTTCACTTTATGTGCAATGAATCTATTTAATTTATGATTTTCAGAAACGACTGACCAAAAGAACTGAACTTTTTTTACGATATTCAATTTTTTTGTTGTTGCACCTCTAATAGGGGCAATTTCTACAAAAACAGCAAACATCAGTGTTGACCTAATTTTGTCTTTCTGAACCATTTTCTAAAGCTTTCGTCATAACAAGATGCATAACAGTTGTGATAACACAGATTACATTAGCAGCATGATGCTGTCATTCAGCTGGTTGTGATCTTGAAGGGCTCTGGCTCCCTGAAGGCTGACTGAGTGCTTCTCTGACGATTCATGGAGAGGGACTTCACTGGCAACTTAATACAGTTTTAAATACATGTGCAGGGGCAGAGGGAGAGCAGGCTTTCCACCATTCAAGCAACGTTACTTTCTAGCCTCTTTTTGGGCGTGCTCACCCCTAAATTTTAACTCTTTAATTCTCCATCCATCCATCCATTATCTTTACCCGTTTATTCCATTTTGGGTCACGGGGGTCGCTGGTGCCCATGTCCAGCAATCACTGTGCGAGGGGCGGGGTACACCCTGGACGGGTCGCAAGTCCATCACAGGGCCACATAGAGACAAACGAGACAAACAAACATTCACTCTCTCACTCACACCTAGGGACAATTTAGAGTTACCAATCAGCCTAACATGCATGTTTTTGGACTGTGGGAGGAAACCGGAGCACCCGGAGAAAACCCACACATGCACGGAGAGAACATGCAAACTCCACCCAGAAAGGCCCCTGGACCGGGGTTTGAACCAGGGACCTGCTCGCTGAGAGGCAGCAGCTCTACCAGTTGCGCCACCGTGCTGCCTCTTTAATTCTCTTTAATTTTAATTTTAACTTTAAAAATAAATGTTTTTTTTTCCTTGGTTCTGGGTTTGGGTTTTGGATCCTGTTTATTGCATTAATGATTCAATGCACCAAAATAAACAAATTTAAAAGGTAACAGATCATTGTAATACTTAGTTTATTTCCATAATGACTTTAATCGCTGGATGTCCGGCACCTGAGCTGTTGGCTTTCAGAAACTGTGCCCCCCTGAGCAGTTTAGTTGAATAGTCCTGCTTTACAGGGTGGAATACAGTTTATTCCATTTCCAAAACCTAAACTGAGTCTGGAAAAATGTAAAAGCCCCGTGGCCGACCTCATGAGCAGCTGAATACAACAGTGATAAACAGGAAGTACCGCATGTTCATCTGTACGAAGGGAACTGCAGGTACGCTTAATGGTTAAATTAAAGGTTAATGCTTAAAGCTAGCAGTGCTTTGTTTTGTGTGTTTTTAAATGTAGATACCATATTTTCCGGCATATAAGTCGCTCCGGAGTATAAGTCGCATCAGTCCAAAAAAGCATCATGAAGAGGAAAAAAACATAAATAAGTCGCATTTATTATGCGTCACCGCTGACCCGTCACGTTTATTAAATGGTCAAAACAGCTTCATTTCACCTGGGTGGCACGCACCATCCATCCATCCGTCCGTCCGTCCATCCGTCCGTCGTCCATCCATCCATGCCGGAGCCGCCATCTCTCCAGCATTCTTCTGCCTGCACCAGCTGAGTGAAGCGAGCTTGCACGGGAGGACTCGCTGCTGCCGTTCTTAGAAATTTAACATGATTAACACTTAAGAACAATTATTTGTTTGCTCGACATTATAGCAAAGGTGTGTCTCAGTTTAACTTTTCCTTAATAAATGCACTTTAATGGTCAAAACAGTGTCATTTCGCCTGGGCGGTGCAGCGCCATCTAACCATCCATCACGGCTGGAGCCACGAGCTCTCCAGTATTCCTAGGCCTGCACCAGCTGAGTGAAGCGAGTGTGCACGGGAGGACTCGCTGTTGCAGTTCTTAAAAATTTAAAGCACCAGTCAAAAATCATGTTATGAATATGGAAAGCAAAGTCGCTTCAGCATATAAGTCATAGGATTGACAAATCTATGCAACAAACTAAGACTTATACGCCGGAAAATATGGTATATCTATTTTGCAACTTCTGGTTGCATAAGTTTAGTCTTTCTTATCATCAGTTAACAATAAACTGATTTTGTACAAAGCATTTATTAGGTTGTGTAATGTAAAGCAGAGCGCTACGTCTGTAGCAACTTAGCTAGCGTGTGTCTATATTGCACGCCACTAGCTTAGCGCTACTTCTTGTTGTGCCACTAACCATAAAATAATTATTGAATTAAGTGTTTACTTATGGAGGTAAACGTAGATGTTTAAAAACCCATTAAAATACACCAGAATGCAGGAAATGGCATCTACTTTATTAAAATTTTTCTGGGGGAGGACCCCCAAACACCACACACACACACACACACACACACACATTATGAATGCTTATGACACCAATGGCCACCAGGTTGTTCAAGCCAAGAGCTATTATCAGCAATGGGGGCTAAGCACCCCTAAAGGTCAGATTCTAGAATCGACCCTGCTTACTTACTTATATCTACTTCTTTTTGTTTCTTTGACTCTGCATTTACAAACATAAATCCGCTGAAAGTTGTGGCTGTGCAGTTCTCTGTTAGGATTCTTAAGGAATAAATTGTCATTTTAGATTAGATTAGGCTTGTAATCTTGTTCTATTCACCTTGACTGTTGCCTTTCATTGACAAACAGTGAAGAAGCTAAGGAGCTGGGCTGTGCCTCTTCAGTCAGAACACATTTAACTACATTAAGAGGACGCTGGCACGGTTGCAGAACGTCTCTCACACTCAACCAGATGGGCCAGTCAAGGCTTGCTAAATTTTTGATGCCTTTTTGCATCTGTGGCACCGATGTGGACATGAATAAATAAATCTGAGCCCTGTGTGTGTGTGTGTGTGTGTGTGTGTGTGTGTGTGTGTGTGTGTGTGCGTGCGTGTGTGATGCAGGGTGCGTAAAGACAACCTGACCAGCTGTAACAACAGTGGCACCAACATGGAGGATGTGGACTGCGGCGCTGCCGGTTCATCCTCGTTGAGCCACAACCGCCAGTCGTCTGTCACGTCCAACAGCCTGAGCCTTTACCAGAACCGGGCCAGGACGACACACAGCCACAGACACCACAACACAGGTGCACGACACAAGCGCACACTTGTTTTTGTTTTCTCTTGCAGAAAATGACCAGCGGGGTGTCGAACTGAGCTACGCCGAGCCAAAAGTCAGATTTTATACTATCATCCGGTTCTTTTTGATCGCCATGGTAACACAGGCTTATAGCAGCTAAACATTTTAGTTAACTGTCAGAGAAGCTTGTCTCTCACTAAACTGTTAAAGAAACGGCATTTTCAAGAAAGAAAAAAAGGTTCCAAAAAGTCTCAAAACGCTTGTGAGTGTTCTCGTTTTTCTTCTCACGTGTCTCATGTTGCAGGAAACATGAACAAACTCAGGAAATTTGCTAAATACATTTTTGACATTTTGTGACTAAATCGTGACCAGAGAACATTTCCACATCCTTTGCCTGAATGTCACAATCCCTTCAGTTACAAAAAGGTTCAGTTCAGTGTGATTCCAAGTGAAAATTGGTGTTTTCTTGCAACTTTGTGCCAGCGTGTCCAAGAGAAATTAACTTGGTTGTTTAAAGTTTCACATCTTTCTGTCCTGACCCAAACTGCTGTTGTAAGACTATTCTCATTTATTACAAGTTATTATGAAACATATTGTTTGAAGAATATTTCTCTACTGCTCCAAATGTGCTGTTAACATTGTTATTTCTTCGCTCTCCGTGAAAAAGCTTTTCTTTGCTGCTTTATTTGTTGGATTTTTCTATTGTGAGCAGAAAATAATCGAATGCCGCCTGAAACATCTCTCTTTATGCGAACGTGCACGAAGACTAAAGCAGAAAACCTGAGTTAAAGTAACATCAGAATCATCGCCGTAGAGCTCCTTCATAGAGTAACTGGGGTGTTTTTTGGAAGGTGATCCCATGAAAAGTTGTACTACAAATAATAACAGGATCTTTGTATTCTTGTTAGATGAACACGAGTTCAGACTGCTGTGCTGTAAAATATTTAATCTGAAAGCAAATTTCCAACATGGAGTCCTATTTTTTAGTCAAAATATCTTCATGTCTTGTTTTTATTTTTATTTTTTGGACAACACATAAAAAAATAGTCTAATAATAGTTTTTGATGTCTTTAGGAAGGAGAGAGTATCGCAGCCGGTCAGTGCAGCCTCAGAGTCAGCGCCCCCCCGTCACCAGCCAATCGGGTCCCATCCTGGACTCAGGCTCCAACCATGGACTTGTCCAACGTCTGTCCAACAGCCAGCTGTCCTTTAACACTTCCATAGCCTCTATATTCTCTCAGGTATAGATTTGTTTTTAGCAGCATATGAATTGGAAGATGAGTCTTAATTGTAGAGAAACTCTCTTTTTGTCTTCAGGTCCCTCGTCTCTCAGGAGCAGGAGGGATCAGCTCGCAGCTCCAGGCAGCGCAGCATCAGCAGCGCTCCAGTCAGGTGAGATCTTCGTCCACATCTATCAACTCTCCACCCACAAACGTATCAGCTTACACTGCCCCCCCCCCCCGCCCCCTCTTCTCTAGGTTTCCTCCTCTTCTTCCACCCTCAGCCTTCTGTTTGGGAAGCGCAGTTTCTCCAGCGGCCTGGTTATCTCCGGGCTGTCCGCTGCAGAGGGGGGAAACACCACCGACACACAGTCCTCGTCCAGTGTCAACATCGCCATGGGACCCTCGCACAGGTCCGGCAGCAGAGCCACGCAGGTAGGGCACAGGTCAACAGTCACTTTCATCCAGGTCAGGGGTCTGCAACCTTTACGATCACAGGAGACATTTCTACCCTTTCGTTCGCAAAATTAAACGTGTCCAGAGCAGCAAAACCTGCTACAATCGTCATCAACTGGTGGCCCATGGGGGCTTTTCTGGCCAGTAGGCCTGAAATTATAAAACTAAAAACATCCAATGATTGTTAACATTTATTGATATTTTTATATTTTGAGACAAAAGTAAAAACTGGATTCCATCCATCCATCCATCCATCATCCATCCATCCATCCATCCATCCATTTATTCATCCATCATCTTTACTCGCTTTATCGTTTTCGAGTTGCAGGGGGGTCACTGGTGCCGATATTCAAGTCGCAAGTCTATCACAGAAGACTGGATTCTTGTAAAGAAAAAAAAGATATTATTTTGCCAATATTTTAAAAACTAAATGAATTGTGCAGGCTTATGTGGGGTTTTTTTTGGAGGAAATGAGTGTCCTACTTTGAAGAAATAAAGTTAAAGGAAGTAGAATTTACTCTGGATAAGTAGCCACACATTTGCAAAGGAAATGACAGGAAAACTGATAAAACTGAAATTACTGTGCACAAACATTGTAAATGCATGCACTTTTACATGGAGATTTTTTTAAAAACTGCCTTCAGCTGTCGTTTGTCTTTTGTTATTTCATTCCGCAGGGAAAATTCCTTTACGACCTCCATTTGTCTCTCTTCTCCTCCCCCCACCTTATGACAATAACGTTAGCACAAAGCAGCGTACTTGAGTTGGCATATAAAATACACCTCTGACAGGCTGACCTTGGTGTTGTGCTAAAAGATAAGGTGCAGGAGTTGCTGCATTGTGCTCCTTTATTTATACAGGTTAATCCCATTGAGTCTCGGGGGCTCATGTACAAGAGAGACCTGATTTTAACAAAGAGTGATGACAACAGTGGACAATAATAAAAAGCATGCAAACTGAGAAGAACAAATAAAAATAATGGTATTAAAAAAAAACTAAACAAAAACGTCTGTAAAGCGATGTAGAAAACTAAAAACAGGAACATGTCTGCATTGGTTTTTCCCAGGAACTTAACAGATGTTTGAAGCCACTTAGAGAGGTCAAGGTCGAGAGCTTCATGACTTTTTGCAAGATATTCCAGGAAACAGTAGCGGAGTAGGAGAAGGCCCTTTTGCCTAGTTCAGTCCGAACTGAGGGAACACTGCATGTAATAATGTCCTGAGAGCGCACGCTGTAGCTGCACTCACGCAGAGAAATGTAGGAGGAGATGTATGAAGGCAGCAGACCGAGAAGTGATTTAAAGATGAAAATGTACCAGCGAAAGAGTCTGCGTGAAGTTAATGATGCCCAGTTAACCAGTGAATACAGGGTGCAGTGGTGAGTACGGTAGTTACAGCCAGTTATGAATCTTAGTGCACCATGATAGACAGTGTCCAACCTCTGCAGAGTGCTTGTAGGAGCGTTCATGTAAATAATGTTACTGAGATGTGAATCAACCAAGATACCCAAATATTTGTAGGAATTGTTAGTTATCTTACTTTATCATGCTGAGACCCCTGGTATTGTCTGCACAGAGACGGACTACTTTGTAGTTATGGCCTGGTTCTGTACAGATGAGATGGGATCAGCTGCTCTGAGTGAGCTTCCCAGGGTCAACACCCGATAAGGAGTCATTTTTTATTTTGCTGGCTTCTATCAAGTAGATAGATTTGCACTGTCACCCCACTTTTCACCATCAGAAACAGATAAGACCAATGACATCACACATAGTCACCCCACTGATACTCTGATAGGCTGTGCCTATCCGGGATGTGGGGGAGGAGCCAAGGGCCCATATAAGCAAGGGTGTTCTGTTACACAGGGCCTTCCGGGTTAAGATGAGTTGGACGGACGCCTCAGCGCTGAACCTGTAACTTTTTCCTGCCATTAAACTGGTAAACTGAAATTATATCTCAATTTATTTGAGTTATAGTGAGTTTCCTCTCCATCTGGGAATAAAGAACCAGACGCTGGAGGTGGGGAGTTGGACCGGTTTCAGGGAGGGACCTAGTCTGGATTCCACAGAATCGACAAACTCAATAGGAGCACCATTCAAGGATAAAATTGAAGGAAGAACTGCTGGGATCGACTTCCTGTTTGAAAACAACATTCTTTTTTTTTTTTTTTGGTGTTTAGGACAAGTTTGAGACTGAACAAATCTGACTGGATGTTGTCAAAAGTGGATTGCAAAAGCTGGAAAACCTTAGCAACTGTTTTAGCTCGACAATAAACAACTGTATCATCAGCATAGAAATGTAAGGATGCATCAGGGATGGTCTGACCTACATTACCTATGTAGATTTTGAAGGGGGTGGGACCTAAGACTGAGCCTTGAGGTACACTGTTGTTAATCTTTGTTAAATGAATAAGGTTATGATCATTTCTGAAAAATGAACTGTAATCATAAGATACTGCGGCTTAGTTGTATAACAACGGCATTCAAAGCAACATCTAATATATTAAATTACCACCCAAACGTATTTTCTAATTTATCTTCTTTTTAATGACTTGCATACAAACCTCTCATGTACTTCAAATGAATGTTTTTGGAGTTATATACAGGTAGTAAAACATCCCATTTTAATTTTTTTCATGGATTAAACAGACACAAAGTGACACGTTAAGTGGTTAGGAGCTCTGCGCCGCCATCCTTTTGACAAAACTAACAAACTTTGACCTTATTTTCCAGAATAGGATACAGATGTTGGCACAATTTTGATTAAAAAAGATTTTATGTCAGGAAAAAAAATGCAGTTTTGTTTAAATGCCACTACATCCCCATTCATTTCTTCAAAGGATGCTTTCAAGTCTTAAAACTTCATACATAAAAAACCCATTTGTGTACTTGTGTCAAACATCCTCACCCCATTTCCTTTCCCTTCTCAGTGGACATCAGAGCCATATGAGAGTATCGACGCCTCCAATTCCAACGCTGCCACCACTGTAAGAGACAGTGCTCTGTCCAACAATCAAGGCATGAGCCAGGGATTAGACGAGACCCAGGAGGACTCTGCGCCGACGGCTCCAGAGCCATCTGATCAAAAGACTGCCTGAGAAAGATGAAAACACAGATATTTACAAGAGTGCCCATTTTCAGAGAGGACTGCCTGAAAAAAAAAATACGCGTACATTCAGAGGATTGTATGAGAGAGAGCACCCATGCACACAAACCTGCCTTCTCCCTCGTCCTCAGCATGTGGTCTCATCTTGTCTGAATGTAAAGCTGAAAAATACTTTGATCCTGTTGATCAAATAAATACATTTTTGAATGAAATTGCTTTTTTTTTCTTTGATTAAATGTTTATTTCTTACCTGTGTCAGGAGGGAATATGAATATCTTCTTGTTATTTTCAGGCAATAAATGGTCACTGCCCTGTAGGAGATTCACATGGATGGGGTTAGCTAATCTGCAGAAATGAATAAATAGGTTAAAAACTCTTTTAGATAACCCTTCATTGTTTGAAGGGTACTAATGCACGGAGTTCTCTTTTCCAGAATGACTCTTATGTTCTTAAACCAACATGTGATTCCTTTTTGCCTTTAAGACAAATAATGAAAGGAGAAACACTGTTTAGACCTGCTACTACACTGAACAAAAATATAAACGCAACACTTTTGTTTTTGCTCCCATTTTTCATGAGCTGAACTTAAAGATCTAAGACTTTTACTATGAACACAACAGGCCCTTTTCTCTCAAATATTGTTCACAAATTTGTGTAAATCTGTTAGTGAGCACCTCTCCTTTGCTGAGATAATCCATCCACCTCACAGGTGTGTCTTAGGCTGACCAAAATAAAAGGTCACCCTAAAATGTGCAGTTTTATCACAGCACAATGCCACATGGCGTAAGTTTTGTGGGAGTGTGCAGTAGGCATGTCCACCTGCATGTGAACTGAATGTTCATTTCTTTACCATAAGACGTCTCCAAAGGGGTTTCAGAAAATTCGGCAGTACATCCAACCAGCTTCACAACTGCAGACCACATGTAACTACACCAGCCGAGGACCTCCACATCCATTATCTTCACCTCCAAGATTGTCTGAGATCAGCCACCTGGACAGCTGCTGCAACAATCGGTTTGCATAACCAACTAATTTCAGCACAAACTCTCAGAAACCATCTCAGGGAAGGTCATCTGCATGATTGTTGTTCTAATCAGGGTCTTCACCTGACTGCAGTTCATCGTTGGAACTGACTTGAGTGGGCAAATTACTCACATTCGATAGCATGTTGGGAGAGGTGTTCTCTTCATGGAGAAATCCCAGTTTTCACTGTACGGGGCAGATGGCAGACAACAGTATGAGGTTGAATGGGTGAGCGATTTGCTGATGTCAATGTTGTGAATTGAGTTGCCCATGTTGCAGTTGGGGTTATGGTATGTGCAGGCATAGATTATGGACAAAAAAACGGGTGCATTTTACTGATGGAATTTTGAATGCACAGTGATACAGTGACGAGATCCTGAGGCCCATTGTTGTGCCATTCATCCATGACCATCACCTCATGTTGCAGCAGGATAATGCACGACCCCATGTTGCAAGGATGATCTGTACACAATTCCTGGAAGCTGAAAATGTCCATTCTTGCATGACCAGCATACTCACAGGACATGTCACCCATTGAACGTTTGGGATGCTCTGGATCGGTATATAAGACAGTGTGTTCCAGTTCTTGACAATATCCAGCAATTCTGTACATCCACTGAAGAGGAGTGGACCAACACTCCACAAGCAACAACCTGATCAACTCTGTGAAGGAGATGCGTTGCACTGAATAAGGCAAATGGTGGTCACACCAGATACCAACTGGTTTTCTGACTCCCCAGGAACCCCCAATACAGTAAAACAGCACATTTTAGAGTGGCCTTTATTGTGGTCAACCTAAGGCACACCTGTGCAATAATCATGCTGTCTAATCAGTATCTTGGTATGCCAAACCTGCAAGATGGAGGGATTATCTCGGCAAAGTAGAAGAGCTCACTAACAGATTTACCCAAATTTGTGAACAATATTTCAGAGAAAAAAAGGCTTTTTGTGTTCATAGAAATACTTAGATCTTTGAGTTCAGCTGATGAAAAATGGGCGCAAAAACAAGTGTTGCATTTATACTGAATATGTTTTTTTCAGTGTATATACTGTACATGTGATGAAGAGATTTCAGTTCACGAGTGTCTGACACAGAGAAAAACAATTATGAAACTCAAATTTGCTCCTGGTCTCCTACCTCTTATTTTTGGTTGGATATGCCTGAAGCACCTCCCTAGTAGGGAGGTGCCCAGGGAGCTTCCTTGCCAGATGCCCGAACCACCTCAACTGGCTCCTCTAAATGTGGCAGAAAAGCGGTTCTACTCCAAGTCTCTTCCGTTTAACTAAACTTCTCACTCGATCTCTAAGGAAGAATCCAGGCAGCTGCGGCAGAAACTCATTTTAACCACCTGCATCCATGATCTCATTCTTTCGGTCACTGTCCAGAGTTCGTGGCCATAGGTGAGTGTAAGAAAATAGACTAACATAAACAGAGTTTTGCCTTACAGCTCTGCTCCCTCATACATCTTGGGATTTTGACTTGGTTATCTAATTTTTGAAAGGAACCTTTCTAACGCCTATAGCCATACAGCGAAATGTAAGTCAATCATTGTTTTTTAATGTTAGTATGCTCACTAAGTTCAGGGATAGACATAGGTTATTTCCAATTCCCCCTTTTCACTCTGCAACTAGAAACAATAAACGAATGCCATCTATTCAAGAAAACCCATCCATCCATCCATTATCTTTACACAATTCTTCCTTTCCAGGTCATGGGGGTCACTGGGGCCCATGTCCAGCCATCACTGTGCGAGAGGCGGGGTGCACCAGGTCACAAGTCCATCACAGGGACACATAGAGACAAACAAACATTCACTGTCTCACTCACACCTAGGCACAATTTAGTTACCAATTATCCTAACATGCATGTTTTTGGTCTGTGGGAGGAAACTGGAGTACCTGGAGAAAATCCATAAATGCATGGAGAGAATATGCAAATTCCACCCAGAAAGGCCCCCGGCTGGGATTTGAACCGGGGCGATCTGCTCGCTGAGAGATGGCAGCTCTAACAACTGCACCACCATGCTGCCCTCAAGCAAACCCAAATCTATAAAAAAGCATAAGATGTCAAAAAAAGACACAATCACAACTGGCAAAAATCTATTAATAAAGTATTTATTTTTAAGTTGTTACATGTAGATTTCTCTCTCTAGCAGCACTAGTTAATTTATGAATATTCAAGGGCAGTAACCATAGATTGTAGTTCTCTCTTTATGCAGGATGTCATCATGTAAACAAAGACAGACGTAAAGATAATTGGATCAAAAAGTATCACAACATGGGCACGTTGTCCGTGTGCCTCAAACTCATATGAGGTGAAGGACAAGAAACAATTTTTGTGTCGTTTGAGATCATATTGAACAGGTCAGTATGAACAAAAGCAAATCAAAAAACAATGTACAGCATTGTGGGACAGTTACAGCTTTGTTGGAAATGGCGTGATCACCTGCCACCCACATCAGTTGTGTTGTAAAATGTTCAGTACCAGTTAACAAAAGGTCAGTGAGTTACATGTTTAAACAGATGCAAACGAGCGGTTCAGAGAGATGAAACAAACCTATGACATCAACATACAAGGACGTGTAACAAACCAATTTTCAGGATCGTATTTAGTGCAACAGAACTTGTGATTTAATATTCCAACAATTCCTTTCACCTCTTTACACCGAAACAAAAAGGAGATTATAAATATGGCACATTTTATCCACCAAAAAACTTGGGACATGGACAGTTGTACAACCCACAGAAAATGTATCTTTTTCGCTTTTTTCAATGTTTACATCACTTAACTATTTGTAAAGTATTAATATTAGGGGGAAAAGTGCTCATTTGCATGTCTGGGTAGGAGTCAAACGATACAGTAAAGCTAGCAGCTTGTTAGCACAGCTTGTGAGAATTTTGTCCCGATCTGACATGGAAAAGCTGAACACTTTTCCCACATTTAACTGTTGTTGGGTGCAGGATTATTTGTCATATTTAACAAAGAAAATACAATTGGCAGCTCTAATTATCTAGAACTAGTTTACCTGTTTTAGCTAACGGTAGCTGTAGTTTTTAAGGTTAGCTAACAGGAGCTGGTGCTATGCTAACTGCTTGTCAATTGTTTTTGTTGTTTCCACAGCCAATACTATTTAACATTGTTGGTGTTTTACCATTTTATTTATTTTTTCAAAAAATACCTACCAAGTGGTCAAAATTGACTTGGGTGCAAATATTGGACTGTATTATCATGCACTAACTAGCTACTGCTATCACAATTGAAGGTGTTGCACAAAGTACAGATTTCCAAGTGCTCAGTATTTTAAATTGGACTCAAATTCAGCTTAACATTGCTGTAAAATGAGGGTAAACAAGTCTGCTACTCTTAAGAACAGGGATGGATCAGTTCTCCTGGTACACCTCAAGGTCACAATAAAAAGGCATTCAAACTCTGGAGCGTGATCCTATATGGAAAGGTCCACAGTCCTTTAGGATATTTGTATTTGGGCTTTTATATAGGCTGCTGTTAAAGCTTAATTGTTTTGTTGTTGTTTTCATCTCTTCAACTTAATTTTGCAATAAGAAGCCACACATCTTAGTGCAGCGTTTTGGCGCCCCATGTGAGAACAATCCCACTCATATTTTTGTCCTGGTGACCATATGCAACAGATTTTTATTTTTTTGTATATGTTTTGACCTAATTAAAGCAGAATCTCAGTCATTTTCAATTGTTGAGCAGTAACCTGTGGAAAATCATACAAAAAGTGAGTTTGATGGACCAAACTCGACTGAAAAGCACCGTCTTGGAAAAACTACCGTCAAGTCATGCACGTGAAAACAACCAACAATGGTCTATCAGTTGTTAATACAAAAAGGGCCATTAAGTCATTCTGGCAATTCATGACACACTCAAAACAAGAATTAGGTACCCATAACCATCTCTAATATTCAAACATACTAGAAGAAAAATATGAACCTCTTAAAAGAGTTTCTCATATTTTGAATTGTCTGCATACTGCAGTACTTGAATACATACTCATACAGTATCGTTTATAGCAAATAACTGAATTATTTCATTTATTTAGCACAAAGCATGCTGAATAGAAAAAAAGATCACTTTTTAAACCA